GAATATCCAACCCATTCCTGCTTCCTTAAAGCCCTTCAACATCACCTAACACAAGCCCAATTCCTGCTCTAGTTCCTCCAACACTGTCTTCCAGGGAGGCCCAGGCTTTCCCGAGGCAGGTGTTCCCAGGCAGCAGGACTGTGATCTCACCTTTAACTCCCAGTGTGGTTCCCGGGCAGCGCTGGCGAACACATGACCTGTGTGCAGCAGCAGGCTGTTGGTATCACTGAAAGCTCTACAAGGTTTGCCATCACTGTTCTAAGGTGCTGGCAGGATGGAGTGGCACCCCAGAGTCCTTTTTCAGAACGAGTTCCAGCTGTTTCTTGACCGTAGCTACTTGTTTACAAACCCCATGTGTTGGTGGTGTGTTAGTTTTTCATGACTGTGATGAAATACCTGGGAGGAAAAACAAGGAAGCAAAATTTGCTTCTGTTCAGTTTCAGAGCTGAGGGTCCATGACCACTTGGCCTTCTTGCCTTTGGCCCGAGATAAGGGGAGTGCAAGGCAGAGGAAGCAGCTAACGGGAACAGGAGCCCAGGGTGTGGCCAGCCACCGGGGGTAGTGGGCCTGACCTGGGGCTTTGGGGGCACAGTGGCTCTACCTTCTGTACCCAGTGCTCTGCTCTCCAAGTCAGCCTTCCTTCATCTCATCCATCTCTGTGCCTTTCGGTCCGGGCCGGCAGTGTTTCTGCTGGTGTGACCTCAGGAAGCTTGTTGGTGCCCAGGGTAATTCCTAGGAATTCAGGACTTCAGACAAGAGGCCTCTCTACAGATCAAGTCTGGAGAACCCCGCTGCTGTTCTTTAGTTCTGAAATGCTGGTTGTATTCATGAGTTACGCCTCCAGTCTCTTCAACAAAATACCCGGCAACTTTGTTGATGTCTTCAGACCACACTTTCTAAACAGTGAGTTTCCTAAGTTTAGCAATTTTGACAGGCCGAGGGCCTCCCAAAGTACCAAGTAGCAGTTCCTTTTTGCTTAACACTTCCTTCCTCAATTTATTTTTCCTCTCAGTTGTTACTACAAGCGGCCAGGAAAGACCAGGCTGTGTCTTTCACACTTCAGAAGTCTCTTTGGCTAAATATCCAAGTTCATCACCCTCAGTTCTCTTTCCACCCAACGCTAGAAGCCAACCCAGCCCCTCTGTCACAAAGATCACTTTTTCTCCCATGTCCTCCTAGGGCCCCCAAAGCACATTAGTGTTCCTGTTCCTGCTTATGTGCTCTTCATGGTGATAAATGTACTGGGATCATTTCTTTCTAAAGCCTCACAAGGACCACCTTAAGTGAACATCCATGTTCCACCAACAGTCACTGGAAGGCAATCTAAGTGGCTTAGCCCACTTTGTTTTGGAACAGCAGAATACTAAGTACCGGATAATTTATAAACAATAGAAAAATTTTCATATGATTCTGAAGGCTAAAAAGTCCAGCATTGAAGTGCTGGCCTCTGATAAGGGCCTTTTGCCTGCACTGAAATGAGGTGGAAGATCTCGAAGGGCAGGAGGACCAAGGAAGAGACAGAGATGGAGACGCCTCACCCCATCCTCTGTGATACTAACTCACTCATGAAGGCAGAGCACTGATGGCTCTCTTTCAAATCCACCTTTTGACACTGCTACAATAGTGATTAAATACATGCTTTTTGGAGGACACTGTCAAACCAGGCTTTTGCCATCAGGTCTCTTGCATTAGTCCATTGTTTGCAATTATAATCAAAATACCTGAAGCAGGCTGTATGGTTTGGGTATAGCGGTCCCCTCAAAGTCTCATGTAGTCAGGTTTTTGCAGGGGTGGGTAAATCTAGAGTTTGTGATTGATTCAAGATCCAATGCTGGGATTAAAGGTGTGAGCACTATACCTGCCCTAGGGCAGGTAACCTGTGTATAATATAAGGAACAGAAAGAAGCTTGTCCCCTTCATCGTCTCTTGTTGCTTTTGCTGTCATCTGCTGCCAGGAACTGTTCTCCTCTGCCGTGTGCCACCCTACCTTATGGCCAGCAGATTGTGGACTAAAACCTCTACAAACTGTGAGCTAAATAAACCTTCTCTCCTTTAACTTTGGGTGCTGGGTATTTTGTCTCAGCAACAAGAAAAGTAACTAAGACACAGGCTAACTTTGTGGAGAAAAGAAGTTTACTTTAACTGGCTGTTCTGGAGTTCAAGGGCATGACATTGGCATCATTTCAGCTCTGATGAGGACCTCTGGTGGATGGAAGATGTGCTCATGGGAGAAACTCATGTCTCAAAACAGAGAGGCTGGAGTCCCACGGCCCCTTCCAAGAGGACACCCTGCAATGACCTAAAGACCTCCTGGTAGGCTCCACTTCTTCAAGGTCTCACCTCCCACCTCCACACTCAGGACTAAGCCTTCAAGATACAAATCTTTGGGTGCTAAAAAAAATCGAAACCAAAGCACTCCTCAAAACTCTTCCATCCTCTATTACCCAACTCCAAAGCCACATCCACCCCTGCAAGCACTTTTTATAGCAACACCCCACTTTCTGGTACAAAATCTGGCACAAAATTAATTTACTAGGGTTATATGCAAATTAGAGTGTCATAAACTTGATGATGGTTTAGGACAATAGGAATTTATTCTCATTTATATTAGAGACCAGAAATCTGAAACTGAGTTGTCTACAGGGCCTTATGCTTGCCAGGCAGGCTCTGTACTGCTGAGCTATATCCCAAGCCCCTCCAAATAAAATTTTAAAAAGGCTTGGTGATGCAAAGTTAAATTTTAAAAAGGACTGGGGATGTCAGCTTAGTGGTAGAATTTTGCCCAGCATGTGTGATGCTCTGGGTTCAGTTCCCATTATGGGGGGTGGGGGTGGGGGAGGGAGATTTGCTTTTGGGGATGCATATAGCATGTGCAGCAGGAGAGCAGCCAGAGCTTCCTGGAGTGGAGGCCTGGCCCTGCAAGAAAAGGGCAGGGTTTTGTCCCATGGAGAAATGCTGTGAGCTCTGGGTAGGACAACTTGGCCAGAGCAGGAGGTCCTGGAGGGTACAGGCTGGTCCATGCAAAATGGTGGCTCCTGGGTAGAGAGGGGGACAGTCATCAGGGGATCTGATATCGTGTGAAATCACCTGCTTATGGAACTGCTTTACATGAAATCAGAGGTCAGATGAACCTCTGCCTCTGTTTGGCCCTCACTGAGAGCCTCTTCTTTCTGGATCCAAGACAGCCAGAGCTCAGGAGTGGCCTGTTACTTTCATGGTCATGTGACCTCAGGTGCCAAGGCCATGCTAATCCAATCCCTGAGGCTAGAGATTGGGGATAGCCACTGGCCACACCCATGCCACAGGATGCAGAGGATGGGGTCAGCTTCCTTGAACACCCTTGGCTTTCCAGAAATGTGGAATCCAGATGACCCATACCAGGGTCCACCTGTTCCTCTCTGAGATGGTGTCCTTGGTGGTCCCAAACCCATGGCCACAGCCTTATGTTGTCTGTTAATTAACAGTACATGGGAAAATGCCCAGAGACAGAGACTACGGGAAAGACTGGGTTTAATCCTGTCAAGGGACAGGCAGGCTGAAATCACAGTGACATCAGTGTACATCTAGAAGGGAGGCTAAGTACATACAGGGGTGGAGTGGGGGATTGTCGTCCCAAGGAATCTGGATGGAAATGTTTGAGGTCAAAGCCACAAGGACCATTAGCACAGGTAAGTATATAAAGCTGGGTCTTCCAGCATCTAGGGGACTGCAGGTCAGTCCTAAATTTCTTTGTGGTCCTCAATTCTTGTTAGCCGTGGGCAGCACAGATTCCTGTGCTTGTGTGGGCGCCACACGTACTGGAAAGGTCCTTCTCAGGCCATGCCTAACAGTGTCCTGTCCTGATGGTCAGGGAGGGTGCATGCAGCCTGGGACCAGCCTGGGGCACTGGCAAGGGGGCAGGTGAGGCAGCAAGGGATCAAAGACAGCAGAGAGGGTGGCATCATCCTCAGGTGCCCCTGGGAATGTTTGTCCTTGGGGTTCAAGGTGAGAGGTAGCCACGGCTGCTGTGGCTGAGATGCAGCTTCCTAGACGAACATGGGAGCCTTGGCCAGAGCCTCTGCCTGGGGCCGCTTGAGCCCTGAGACCCACAACAGCAGAATTGGGGTCATAGCGGGAGGCGAGGGGGGGAGCAGGGCAGCTTGACTATGGGATGCAATGTACAGCAGGTAGGGTGGGGGTCAGGCTACTCCCCTAGGCCTGTGCTGACCTGGTTGCCTCCCTCCTTGGCCCACCTAGTCCTCTAGCCCCAGCTTCATGGAACTGAGGGAGGAGGCTTGGTCTTGGAGGAGGGGCCTGCACCACAGTGGGCCCCCTTCTCCCCTCAGTTTTCGCCTTCATGAATGGGGGAGGAGCCCTAGAATGATGGACAGCCTCGTAAGAGATGATGGGGTGGGGGGTATCCAACTGCCCTAGGGAACCATATTGCTGTAGTGTGACCCTCCCAGATCTGAATTTCCCTCTGCCCTCCTGTGGGTGTGGTGGCCTCAGTGCACCTGTCTCTGTGGTGGAGCTGGGCACCCGAGGGGGAGCTGCCTCAGTGTCCTTAGGACCAGCCACCATGAGAGAGGCAGGAGAGTACTGGGCCTCCTTGACCTCATTTCCTATCTGCACAAGGAGGGGTCTAGGCTCAGGGTGGGGCCATGCAGCAGGACAGGAATGACCCAAGCCTCTCTAGGGCTGTCCGCCACTATTCACTGCACAGCTGCTATGCATCAGGTCCTGCCCTCATGGAGTTTCTATTCTGCCCGAGAAAGCATGTTAAACAAGAGAGCAGTGAGTTGAAAAAGTGGACAGCTGGGGGCAAAGACTCATCCAGGAAACCACAGCAGGAGCTGCAGGCAGAGTCCCCAGCAGCAGGAAACAGCGGCTGCAAAGGCCTGGAGTGGGGTGGGACTGGCACTCCAGAGGCTGGTAGAGTGTGCTTGGCAGGAAGTGTGCTGGGGGTGGGCACTATGGGGGTGCCCAACTCCCTTGGTCCCAGAAACCCAAGTCACTCAGTGCAACTCCCCCCTTGGAGCTGGGTGCCCAGTGGTAGGGCTGGTGCCTGAACACGTGGAGGAATGGTGAGTGAACCCTAGCTGGTCCCCTCCTCACTATGTGACCTCTGGGCCACAGTTTCACCCCTCCTAAGATGCACTCTGAGTCATGTTTCTCTTCTCAGGTGGTGGCAGGGGCTTCTTAGGCTGCAGCTGATCACCTTGGTCAGGACTGTGGAGACTGCCAGCAGCCCATCCATCCAGCTTAGAGCACAGACAGCTAGCAGCTGTTGGGGGGAACTATGACACCCAGGTGGAGAGCTCTGCTCCACCCTTGAAGGGGCCAGGTTCCTCACTTCTGCTTTCCTCCTCTTGCCCCTGTGCAGACCCGATGTTCCCCAAGCTCTCCCCTGGACTGGCACAAGGAGCCCCAGCCTGCAGGCCATGTGGGCAGCAGTCAGGTGGACACAGCGGAGCCCCAGCCCAGGCCCTGACTCCAGTGCCCATCACACACCTGCTGCGGGGACCCCTTCCTAGGCCACCCCGCGGGGCCCTTCCTCTGGACCCAATGGGGCCTCCTCCTCCTCCACCTGCAAGGGTCAGGGCTGCCTGGGCAAAGACGAAGAAGGAGGACTGGAGGAGGAAGAGGCCAAGTGCTAGTCCATCTGGTGTGTGTCCCTCATCACTATCCCCCAGGTGAGCAGTGCCATGTGTTTGGGCCTTGGGACAGAGGAAGGACAGGGATGGACTGTGTGGAGGAGGCCCGGCAGCCCACAGCCCAGATGCACAGGTGTGGAGACCTCAGGCAGCTTGCCCCTTTGCACCTTCCTGCAGTTCCCGACTCTGCAGCCAGAGGCCTCCCTGACCCGTCATCGGAGCCTGGGCTCTGCCTGCAAAAGGGTTCAGCGTTCAGCGGCCACCGGTGTCAGCACAAAATAAACTCGGAGCCAGGCCCACTGGAGTCCAGCGCGTGTCTGTGGTGGGTGACCAACGTGGGACACGTCCTCCCCGGGCTCGAGGGGACACTTTGTTCCTGCAGAGTCACTGTTGGGGCCCCTGCTTAGGACTGGAGGGCCTCCCAGACTGCATGCCCTGCTGAGGGAGCTGTGCCCCAGCTGCCTGCTCCCCCTGGCTGCCTGATTCCCCCGCACACACCGCTCTCAGGGACCTCCCTGTGCGACTGTCTTTCCTCAGCTATCTGGTGGTGAGGTGGCAGGGGCAGCTGAGGTCAGGGTCTGGCCCTTTAAGAGCTCGGCAGGGCTGCAGCTGTGGGACAGAAGGGATATGGCTCGCCCACGCGGTCCCCGCGAGTGGACTGCGCCCTCCCTGCCCCCACCCCATCCGCGAGGTGGGATGAGCCCGCTGACTGTCCATTCCTCCTGCTGCAGCCAGGACTGGCCTGACACTACTCCGGTGCAGGAGCGCGCCAGTGGCTTCACCTCCCTGAGCCTCAGCTTCCTCCGTGTAAAGCAGAATCAACGCATCTAGCAAAGCTCGCTGAACAGGGATAGAGGCCCTGGTGCCTGTGGAGGCCTCCACACAACCCCCCATGTGTCCTGACCTCACTCCGCGCCGGTGTGCTCTCCGCACATCTGTGCTTCTGCACCTGCACGTGTGACAATCACTCATTCCTGGCTCCCACACCCACCTCCCTCAGCCTCCACGTGGATGTCCCCACATCGTGCTATGTGGATGATAGAGGTTGGGGGTCCTGGGGACCAGAACCTCATCATCAGTCTCTTAAGTCTCCCTAGCCTTGGGTCCTCAGGGCTTGGTGCACACATCACGGTTTATATCCAGGTGTCCCTCCGATGCCGCCTGCATACTAGCATGGATGTGGAACGCGTGTTACTGGATTGGTCCGCACATGGGTTTGTAGCTGAGTGTGACGTTGGGAGGTGAAAGCTGATTGGAAGAAGTGCTCACTGGGGGCGTGGCCTGAAAGGGCTTGGCTACCTCCTCCTCCCTTGATCTCTCTCTGCTTCCTGCCTGCCACGCCAAGAGCTGTTTCTCTTCTGTGATGCCTCCTCTGCCCTGCTACCCTGCTTGGGAGCCAACCAACTGTGGACTGAAGCCTCTACCATCTCTAAGCCAAAATAAACCTTTGCTCCTTTAATTTGTGGGTGCTGGGTCTTTTGTCCCAGCAGCGAGAAAGTTACTGACGCCCCACATCTTGTACACAAGACCCTTACCCTGCTGTACAGCTGCTCCTGGCCAGGTGTGGAGTCCATTCAGTATGGTCACTTGTCCTCTACTTCTCCCCAGCTGCCCACCTGGTGGGTGACCCCACCAAGGAGAGAAGGAGAGAGCACTGAGGCAGTGGCCACTTGCTGACAGCAGGCATTTATTTAGTTGAAGAGCTGCATCTGCCTGCAAAGAGGCAGCCACAATCTCCCACCCAGGACCAGGTGGCCTGCATCCAGGGAGGCCACCATTCACCCCTCCAGGCAGCTCCGGCCTTGGCAGAGAGGCAGATAAGCAAGTGGAGTCCAGAGGAAGTGAGTCACAGTGCAGCTCACAAAGTGCAGATGGAGGGGTGTTATGGCTTGCATTTAGCTGTTTCCCCAAAGGGCAGACATAGGCAGGGCTTTCTCAGGGGTGGCTGAATCTAGAGTGGTGATGCTAGGATCAACGGTGCATGATTCCTAAATCAGTCCACTGGTTTGGCACCACCCTAATCCTGGTAGCTTAGATACAGTGTAAGGGATAGAAAGAGGCTTGTCTTCCCCCTTTCTTGCTCTGCAACTTTCTGCCTGCCATGGACTGTTTCTCCTCTGCAATGCCTGTCTGCCACATCACCCCTGCCTTGGAGCCAGCCGACTGTGGACTGAAACCTCTACAAACTGTGAGCTAAATCAACCTTTCCTCCTTTAACTGAGGGTGTGTCTCAGCAACCAAAGAAAAGTAACTGAGATAAGGGGAGAAGCTAGGATGAGGTGCAGGCAGCCCTGCCAGCCCTAGTGGGACTGCAGATCAGGAGGGGCTTTGCCAATCCTGGGCAGCACCCACATAGCCTTCTGCCTTTTGGAGATGGCACCATGTACTGTGACACCATGTACTGGTCCACCTTCCCCACTCCAGGCACATGACTGGGGCTGAAGCTGGAGGCTCAGCTCTTGCCTTGGACTTGCTGGGTCATCCTGGGCCAGGTAGCTATTCCTCTCTGGAATATTTCAGTTTCCTCCAGACGACCCCTAGGGGTCAAATGCCCCAGCTCCAGGCCATCAGCCTATCTTCAGCATTGCAGGACCCTCATTCCTTCACAGGGTTCTGATGTCACCTCCCCAGAGAACACAGGCCCTGTGTGGCAGAGTAAGGAGCAACAGGAGGCATTGTTCATGGAGCGGCTGAGCCTGCAGGGCCCTAGGGATGCAAGATGTCCACACTGTCCTGGGCTGTGTCTCTGTGGGCTGTGGCACTCAGCGCCTCCAGCCAGCGCTGCTGTAGCTCCACAGAGGGGGCGCTCAGGTACCAAGATTGCTGCCCCTGCTGCAGCTTCCAGGTATGCCCCACCTCCTGCACTTCCTTGGGGTCTGGCATGAGCACTGTGCAGCCGGGTAGACAGATGGTGTTCAGCAGCTGGCCGTCCTGCAGCATGAGAGAGGCTCAGTGAATCCCTGCAGGGAGCCACACCCAGCTCCCTGCGGTGCCAGGGGGGATACTGAGCCAGCTAGGGCTGGTGGACACAGCTGCCCTGCCCTCTGTCAACAGCATGGGCTGCCCAGGGTTCTCCCTGGGTGACACCTCATGGACACTCAGACCCTGTGGGACTGCCATCCAGGGAGAAGCAGGACAGCAGCACTTGGGGCCAAGAAGAGTGGAGCAGGGGTCCCAGACTGGGGCAGGGCCACAGGGGTCAGCTTCCCACCCTGTACCCCAGGACGTGTGAATGAATGTGGGAAAAAGGGGTCAGCCCTGTGCCCCCTCCCTTCCCCACCTCTAACTCTGGCTGGATCTGAGGTCCTGGGATAAGCAAGCACCTGTCTTCCTACAGTGAGGAGCAGAGGGCTGTTCTGGGCACAAAGGGAAACTGAGGCTCAGGGTCACACAGTTGGAGTCGGTGGGTACCAGAAAAGCCAAGGGCCTGGGGGCAGGACGGGGTGTGGGGCACCCACCTGGTCACTTGCCTGCAGCCGTAGCACCTGAGGGGCTGAGGCAAGGATGGCAGCCCACACTTCAACCCAGGCCATGCCATCCTCCGATAGCCGTAGTGGGCCACAGAGCTCACTGGGCTGGGAATCTGCAGCTGGCAGCTTCCAAGGACACAGAGACACAGGTTAGGGGTGCTCTCCCCTGCAGCAATCACTCCCTTCTTAGGAGGAAGGGCCAGGACTGCCACTTGGAAGGAGCTGGCCCCTGAGATACAGTGAGGACTGGACAGAGGCTGGGCCCAGAGTTGTTTGCTCCAGTGGCCACTTCATGCCAGACCAAGGGGCACAGGCAGGGTCCGGACCCACTAAATGGAGGGAGACCATCAGCCAGGTCAGGACATGACCAGTACACCAGGGGGATTCAACAGCAAGACCTTAGGTGATAGTCCCAGGGGGAAGAGACTATGTGTTTCAAGTCTGCACACACCACTTTGCACACCACACCTTATACACACAGACAACACAGACACACACCACACACAAGAATGCACACATGTGTGCTTCTCTCGCTCCCTTCCTCTCCCTGTCTCTACCTTTCTGTCTGTCCCTTCAGTACTGAGTACTGAACCCAGGGCCTATCTGACCTACATCCCAGCCCTTTTTAAACATTTTATTTTGAGACAGGGTCTTGCTAAGTTGCTCAGATTTGGCTCTGACTTTTGATCCTCTCACCTCAGCCTCTCAGAGTGTGAGGGTTATGGGTGCACACCACCGTGTCTGGCCTGAGCCCCCACCCCTACCCCTTGAGGTGCCTCAGAGCTCCCCAGAGCCACCCAGACATGGGTGGCCATTTGCTGGATGAGGTCCGTAAGACCTGGTCCTCCTTCTGGGGCTAAGCTTACCCACAGCCCTGGGCTCCCAGAACACCCTCAGGATTGAAATGCAGCCCAGGCAGGCACAGCAAGATGCTTCACCTGGGGCCATGCCCCCCGATCCTAATAGTCCTACCTCCTTGACTTCTTAGACAGACCCAGATCAGGGTCCCCACAGCCATGAATGAGCCAGGACAGCCAGGGGCTCTGAAAATCCCCTGACCCCAGCCCACCCCACCACCCTACAGTGAGTGGGACAGAAACCAGGCCTGGAGCTGACACCCATTCCATTCCCGTCTCCTCCGGGCCTAGCCTCAGCCCTCACTGGTCCCGAGAGGCCCAGGCTGCACAGGGGCTGACTTCTGCATTCGGTTGCTGATGGCTCCCAGTGGCTCTCTGGGTCCCAGGCCAGTAGATCCTGCTGCAATGCCTCCCCATCTGTTCCCGTCTCAGGAACTGATTACCCACCTGCATGCTCTGCTTGGGCTCAGGGGGCGACTCAGTGCTGGGGGTGGTGGGGGCTGTGGGCTCAGTCAGAAAACACTCCCTGCAGACACGGCTCTGTCTGCTGTTCTCGGCCTTGAACTCGGAGCACTTCCCACAGATGACCTGCAAGACAAGGGCACCTGTGACCCCACATACTGTCAGCGGCCCAGCAGGGACTTTAGAGTGCGGGGTGAAGTAAAGGTTTGTCCAGAGTCCAATCCAAGGGCAGAACCAGGCTGAGGGTCCGGGACCTGCCCTCCTCACCCCAGCAACCCAGGCCCAAGGATCTGTGTGTGACAGTGGGCTGAGCCACCAAGCACATGAGAAGACCCCATGTCAGAATGGCCCCATCCTGGTCACTGGGAGGACACACGTTGAAACCTCACTCCTGGAGAATGATGTTCCCCCAAACAAGAAGCAAACACAGCCAGATCACAACAGGCTTGGCGAGGGTCTAACACCACCAGGGAGACAGGCGGTGGGGAAAGGGCAAGCTGCCATTGGAAATGGGGCGGCAGATCCCCAGAAACTTAAACAGAATCACTGTGACCCTGAGGAGGCCCCTGCCTAGCTGCGTCCACGCCATCAGCACCCGTGAGACCCAGAAGGTGAAGCAACCCAGTGTCCACTGATAGATGAGACAGGAAATCATGGCCCGTGGGTGCCACAGGGAGTATCACTGAGACAGCCAGGTGGCACATGATGGGGGAGGAAGCCAAAAGCCTCTAGTGACACTTCCAGAACTTGCGCTGCCCTGAGGCCTGCAGCTTTGCCCCCGGCAGACCCCTCAGCTCCAAGAGCAGTCGGTTCTCTGTCTCATCTCACATTCCTTTGTTACGCTGGATCCTCATCCCATCCCAGCATTTTAATCTCTTCTCCGGTGTCAGCACCATCCATACACATACCCTCAGCCTCTGCTTCACAGCCTAGGAGGATGCTGCATAGTCACCCCATCCTGGCCTCCTCGTGGGCAAACGCAGGGACAACTTTGCTTCTAGGGCCCATGCTGGCTTCCCTGAGCCTATGCAAATCTTAGGCCTGAGCCACAGCCTATGAGTGATACTATGATCCCCAAGGTCCTTTGCTCATTTACCAAGCCACCTACTCCATCCATCCATCCATCCATCCATCCATCCATCCATCCATCCATTTATCTATCCAACCACCTATCCTCCCGCCACCCACCGTCAGCCATGCACCCATTCATCCCTCCAAGGCCTCATCCATTTAGTCTCCCCTGCTGCCAGCTCTGGTCAAGGTTTTGTGAAAGGTGCCACCAGGAACAGCAGTTCAGGCACAAGCTGCTGGTATCTTCAGGAAAACAGCTCCTCAGCAGCTCTCTGCCAAGATCCACTCACTGCCACTGAAGTCATTTTAATACTTCCACCTAAAACATGTGGGTTGCCAGTTCCTTCCTTGGGGTACTTTTAAGTTTAGTCCAGAGCCATGCATGACTCAGCCACCCCTTCTCAGAAGCCAGGGTGTTGGAGATGACGGAAAAGGAACAGAGATGGTATATGCTTGGGCCCCATCAGAGGTGGCCGCTCATTACACGAAGCCACCAGACCTTTGTCATCTCTGCAGTGCTGAGGCAAAGGCCAGCAGGAGGGCATTTCCACCAGGGCCACTCCTGTCATCTTCAGCCACCTCCTTCATGCCAGGGGCACTGTGCTTCCAAACCTGGCCTTTTTTCTGCTGCTAAGAAGCCAGAACTGAGCAGAATTTGGCTGCCACAGTGTAGCTCTCCCAGGGCCCACTGACACGAGCTCCGCAGGGCTCTCAAGCAGTCCCTGGACCCAGTGGGTGGCTGCCTGCCCCATCGGAGGTGCCCCACTCACCACCCCACACAGCTTGCAGTGGTGCTTCCTCTTGGTGATGGAGTTAAAGGTCTCGCCGCAGCCCTTACAGCTTTGCTTCTCCTTGTCACGTCTGGTCTTTGAGGATGGTTTTCTGGACTCCAGCTACAAGGAGGCAAACAGCTGTCGTCAGTCCTGGAAGGCACGGGTGACCTTACCCCTCTGGGGGTGACGAGCCACAAACTCAAGACAAAGGCAGACTCTGCAGAGGGCATGAGGTAAAGAGCCAGAGCAGCCGCACGGCCTCTGTGTATCACACAGAGTCCACGGATCAAGACTGGAGGTTGGGGAGAACTCGGCCCATGGCTTTATCTGAAGACATCACTATGGAGCCAAGGGGAGGAAGATGGTACAGCCGGGCCAGGCAGGAGTCTGCACAGACTGCACTGTGGGGGCCCTGGGGCTATGTGGAACCCAAGATCCTAACTCTAACCATCCTTCACCCAGTACACGCCTGCTCCATGTTGGGCATTTGGGGGTGTCCACTCCCGCCTGGCATCACACACATGCAGACATAGGTGCATACACACACACACACACACACACACACACACACACACACACACACGCATACGTGTGCCACAGCAGGAGGCATCTGGAGGGCTCATGTCCCACTCTGTCTCCAGTGACAGAGGAAAGTGGGCTGGAAGGCAAGAACAGGCCCACCTGGAGCCCCTAGCTGAGCCTCAGGCCTCGGTTTCCTTCTTTCACCACCAGCTCTGAGGCTGGAGACAGACCCAAGGCTCCTGCTGTGCCCTGATTGGCTAGGAGACCCTGGCAAGTCCCTGGTCCATGCTGAGCCTCAGTTTCCTCATCTGGAAGATCGGGTGAATGACTGCTCTCTGCCCCTGAACCTCCTTCCCGTACATGAATTCCTGTCTGGCTTGGGGAGGCTTCTGGGTATCTTTTCATGTCACAAGGACCCCAGAAATGCCACCAGGCAATGCAAAAGTTTCCCGAATACCCCCAACCCATGTCTAGTGCATCCTCACCAGGGAGGAGGAGGGTTAGGGCTGACACAGAAGCCACCATCGCTAAGATTTTAAGAAATGCCAAGGATGTTCATAAAATTCCCAGTGTGCCAGAGCTGGAGTGGCCCCCGATGGGTTTATTTCTACCTTCTGTGCATTCGGAGAAGAGAGCGGCCTAGAGCCATTTTTTGCTCTCACTGGTGTTGCTGGGATCTGTTTTAAAATATTACAGTTTGAAAAAGAACACCTATGGTAGGGGCAGGCAGCAGAGGACCCGAGGCCAGCACACAATGGGAGTCTCTGGAGATCAGGGAGCGGGCACTCAGTGTATGGCTGTCCCTGTGTGGGAAGGGATGAAAAGGGGGACAGGAACATGGATGTGGTGGGTGGGGACTTCAGGAGAAAAAGCTGGGCTGCTTGGGTCCTTGTGGTAGTGTATGACTTTTAAGAAGAGAGGATGAAGACACAGATACAGATACACAGACACACACAGTGGCTGAAGATGACGTCCACCAGCCACAGAGAGAGGCCTCAGGAGAAACCAGCACTGAAGGCCCTCTGGCCTCAGGCTCCAACCTCCAGAACCTGTTGTTTACGTCACGTGGGAATCTGTCCCACAGCCCGAGCACACGGATAGCATTTCCTCAGTGCCATCTGGGATGCATGACCCTCGCCCATCTCCGTTACTGCCTGCAGGTCCCGTCACCTTGAGGCTAGCACCCAGCCACCTATATGAGAGGCCCAGAGGGACAGAGACCCTCCTGATGCCAAGCCCCAGATCCCCATCACAGGACCCATTGCTCCAAAGACACAGGTGTGTGATGGCTGTGGCTTCCCACTGAGGTTTACCCCATGGTCAGGACAGTGGCCAGGTCCACCAATGGGTGGGCAGGTGGGAGTTGACACTGTCCTGGCTCCCCATTGCCTGTAGCTTCCCTGCGGCACCCTTGCCCCTCAGTAGCTCTCAGCCCCTGCAGGGGTCTCCTTTGACACCTCTCAGGCTGGAGGTGCAGACATGCACTGCGGTGAGGAGAAAGGTTCCAGGTTGAGGAGGGGACAGAGAGAAGGCAGGTGATGGGAAGGGCCCGCCCAGGCCCCACAATCTCCTCCCACCTCCCCCTTAGGATGTCCACTCCCCTGACTATCAAGTGAGGTTTGCAGCCTGGCAGCCCAGACACATGGCTTTCAGACACCCTGGGAGGGGACCCCTGCCCTGGTACCACCGGGCACCGACAGGCAGCACTACACTGCAGCTGAGAATACAGGAAGCTGTGGGGCTGTGATGTGTGGGTTTTGTGGCTGACCAGTGGCTCAGACCAGTGGAAAACCAGTCCCAGCCCACATTCAGGAGGCAGTTCCTGGAGGTCTCCCACAGTCAGAAAGCACAGCCAGGTCAAGGGTGTGGACAGGAACCCAGTCTTGCTCTGGCTCCCACGATGCTGAGGACTGTAGTCCACTGCAGTCCACTCTTGATGTGGCTCTTCCCATCACACACAGTACCTCAACACAGAGTGCTGGCTAGCTGTGTAGCCTGCAGGTGTCCAGGTGGCCAATGGGAAAGGGACCCATCTGGATGCCAGGGACAGATCCCCTGGCCAATCACACTCCCATCTTGGATGAGGCTATTGGGCAGGCTGACCACAGCAGTTGACCCACTGTAGCTGTCATGCCCAGTGGCCCTGATGATAACAGCCTGACCCTGGCCAGCTCAACACTGATGGAGGCCTTGTCTTTTAGGGCTCCCAAGGGTTTTCTCACCAGCCAAAGAAGGTGGGTGGTGAGGAGGAGGAGCACCTGTGTCGGGTATCTGACAGGGACTTAGTCTCTGTGCAGAGGTCAGCATCAGAAAGGCCAGGCCCACATCCTCCCCAAAAGCTGAACAGCAGCTTCTTTGATCACCAACCCAGCAACTCCACTCCCAGGGACCCCAGAGGGGCTGAGGTGGACTCAGAAGGTGGTCTCCCCTGAGGGTCAGCAAGGCTGCCCCCCCCAAATTTCCTCTTCACCAGAGGTAGCTGTGCACAAGGAAACTGAAGGGACAGTTCAGTAGCACAGACTCGGACTCCAATCAATGGACCTGAGGGAACTTTGTCATTTATGCCAGAGAGCAAAGAGATGCACAGCAGGGAATCCCCATGTGCCCAAGCCACAGGTGCAGGGCCACAGGAGAGGCCAGGCCTGGCTCTGCTACTCCTCTCAGGGCAGCTCTGCCCTGGAGCCCAGGGAAGGTAGCCTTCAGCACTCTGGGGGAGCCTCTGGCACAAGAATGACCAGGACAGGTACTCACTGGTGTCCTAGATGGGTTTGTGTGTCCCTTGGTGGGCAGGGTAGGGGGCTTTCAGATTTCTGGGCTTCTGTAAAGAGCAGCTAGACCTTTTCAGAATGAGGAAATCTGAATTCTGCAAAGTTTCTTGCAAAACTTCCTGGTTGGGGTTTCAGATTTCTTAGGAAAGAGGGGCTTACGCAAACTGTGTGTCTGAAGACATCTCAGGTTAGGGAATCCTATCATACCACGCCATATGTGGGCGTGGGGTACAGGCCTGGAATCCCAGCATTCTAGGTGGCAGGAGACTCAAAATCTTGAGACCAACCAGGGCAACTTAGTAGTACCTTAGTGAAAACCTGCCTCAAAATTTAAAAAAAAAAATACCATAAAAAGGAAGGGGGCTGAGGCTGTACCTCAGTGTAAAGGCTCTGGGTTCAATCCCAGGTGGCCAAAGGGAAGGAGGCAAAGAGGGAGGAAAGAAGGGAGAGAGAAGAGGAGGGACAGAGGCAGGGAGGGAAGGGGAAGGAAGGGAAGAGAAGGGAAGAAAAGAAAACATTGAGTTTGATGTCCTATAGCAAAGATCACTCCTTGGGGTCAGCACTAAAACTTGGTCTTGGGCACCTTGTAAATGTCCACTGAGGACATGTGCATCCTGCCTTGCTTGCTTAGTGCAGCTGGACAGATGTGCCCACCCTGGATCCCCTGCAGAGTCTGGTGTGGCTCATCTGTGCCAGGACACCCTGTAAAATTGGGATTCGGGGCAGGGAGCCTAGGGGCAAGTGCAGCCCTGCCCACTGTCCCCACTGTTTTTGAAGGAGGTGCCACCAGGCTGGGTGCAGGTGAAGGGACAGCCCAGCAACAGGAGCCAGGGCTGGGACTGTGCCTGCCAAAGGCAGAGCTCTGAGGCAGGACGAGGCCAGGGGAGTGGGGTAGGTGGAGCACTCCTCGGCCCACAGGGGCCAGTATTCCCAGCAGGTCTGATGACCACAGCCAGACCAGGCTGACTCCAGACACAGATGGAGGCCTTGACTTTGGGGCTCCCTGGGATCTGCTCACCAGCCAAGGAGGTAGGCGGCTGGGAGGAGGAGCACCTGTGTGGGGTAACCAACAGCATCCCTGACCTTCCTGCCCAGGGGAAACTGAGGCTGAGATGGGCAGAAGTTCTTGAGGCTGTAGTTTGTCTCCAGAGCAGAGCTTCCAGGCTCCTGCCAGCTAGAACACTTCTGGTCTGGGCACTGACCCCCCAGTTACCCCCTGCTCTGGGACTCCATCTCATATACAGATGCCCCAAGCTAAGGCCCCTTGGCAGCCCTGCATGTAGCTGTTCTTCCAAACAGCACACGTCCTTCCCACCTGGGGTTTCTCACCCGCAGTCCCTCGACTTCTACCTCCTGACACTCCAGGGCATCCCAAGCCCATGCCAGGCTGAGGACCAGGTAATGGGGGGAACACTGGAGGTCTGGCAATCACCACGAAGGTAGTCAGAGACACCAGCCTTTGCCAAGAGATACAAGGGTGAGCCGCATGGTCCTTCTTACATGTATGACAAGCATTCCTCCGGCAGCAGTGTGGGCGTCACACCTGCACACGCATGCTGCTTTGCACACATCCCTGAGTTCTCCAACAAAGGGATTCACAGAGTCTGGGTCCGCTCAGCTCACACATACATTCCCAGTTTGGAAGGTTGCCGAGGAGCTGATTGGGGGAGAAGCATTTTTTAGGACCCCTGGGGCAGGCCACAGGGCTTCACGGAGGTGGGCAAAGCAGACAGTTGGTGCAGAGGTCCGGGCCTGGTGGAGCACAAGGAGGCTAAGCATGTGTGTGTGTCTGTGTTTGTGTGTGCACACGCATGTGTGCAAGAAACTGGCACGACCATACACAAATACGAAGCCACTCCAGCAGTTGAGATGTTTTTCACATCATCCCACCTCCACCCCAGACTGCCTTGGAGAGATTCAGAATTTCTGCCTTTCAGTTTCAACAAAATTTGCCATCAGGAGGGTCTGCTCTGCAGAGCCAGGCAGTGGCCTAAACAGGGGGCCTCCTATCCTGACTCGTTGGTGTTTATCTCAAGTGTCCACTCTTCCTGCTTCTGGGCATGCTCCCCAAATGCATCATGCACAGTGCTGCATGCTCACCGACCGCTCCCCAAAGCCTCCACCAGGAGCCCCAACAGTGACCACCTCCAGGACCCACTTCACAAGTGCCTGGTGCCCGACACAGCCTGTTCTGTGCACACCCAGCCTGAAGCAAACAGCAGGGCTCACACCGATCCCCGGCCACCCCCTCCAGACAGCACTTGTCCAATTCCCCCAGTGACCCCCATAAAGCCCGTACTGAGCACAAGGTGTGCATCACTCACCCCTGGGGCACCTCCACTGCCATCGATCACCCCTGAGACCTCCACAGAGCCTGTGCTCACTATCTGCAAAGAACAGAGAAGCTGAGTGTGAGGTGGGTCCATCCTTGGGCCCCGCACCTCTGTGCGTGGCAGGCAGTAAGAGGAGGAATGTATGCTGTTTGATAATGTCAGGATGTGGGGAGGCCACCTTCTGGCTGAAGGCATCTATCTGGTGCAATTAGCGTTCTGTAGTGTGGCTCCACATCCCATTCCAATCACCCATTTCACAGAGTGAGGATGGGCCTCTGGATCCTCTCCTCCTCCTGAGGGGATCTTTGTGGAGAGTCCACAGAACCAACATTCTAATGTTAGGAGGCTCGGCTGACTTTGCATCCTCTGTCCCTGGGTCACCTCAGAGGAATCTGCTTTCCCAGCAACGGTACAGCTGTCCTCCAAAATATACTCAGGAAGCAGAAAATATGGAGCAGATTTCATGCAACCAAGTGATGTACAGACAAACATCTGGGGGGCTGCCTGGGTGTGGGCTGGGGGTTGCTAGGCTAGCTTGGGAAAACAGTGGTCTCCTCTATGCACTGCCCCCTTAGAAAAGCCAAAGGTGAGGGTAACTCCTGCCTTGAGTGCTTCTCCCCAGGTGTCCTTACTGTCACCCTAATGTCCCCCAAACACTGCACAGGGATAGCCATGCCTTCCTTGCAGGAGACAGAGACTGGCCTCCATGTTCAGTTCTGTCCCTGACTCCATGGAAACCCAGACATGAGGGACGGCCACCTCAGTCCCCAGCTGCAGCCCTGTCTTCCCCATCTAACTCAGTGGACTCTCCACAACCTGCCCCTTACACAGCCCAAACCTCCACATGGAATCTGCCCCCTGGGCCCCAGAGCAGCTCCCCAAGGGGTGGGGCATGAACTGCCTGCAGTGTTCTAAGCCTGCGTTTCCCAGAGTGGGGCAGAAAATACAACTCAAAAACACGACTGCAAGGAGGTTGGTGTTTTCGCTTTGCTTTGTTTTTGGCATTGATTTTGGCATTAATTCAGGCCCTTCACATGGGGCTATATCCCTAGTCCTTTTTATTTTTTATGTTGAGATAGAGTCTTGCTAAATTGTCAAATTGCCCAGGCTGGCCTGGAACTTATAATTCTCTTGCCTTGGCTTCCCTGAGTGCTGGGATTTATAGGTGCGAGCCGCCATGGCCAGCTGAGGTCTGCAGTTACTGGAATTCTCTTAAGGCACAGGACTGCCATGGACCAGTGACCATGCCTCCCCCCACCCCCACCCCCAATGGCCTTGATGCGTTACTGAGCTTCCGAGAGATTCAGGGAGGCTGTGCAGAAACAAGGAGAGAGCAAATGCACACACCGCAGTCACGGCCTCCAATTAGGGCGGGACGTGGGCCCAGGCTATGCGGGAGGCACCAGGCCACCCCTTCTTTCTCTGCTCCTTCTGGATACTAATCTGCAAGACCCCAGAGCTCAGTAGCTGCAGCAGGGATGCATGTGTATATCTGTGAGTGCGTGTGTGTGCATGTGTGTATGTGTGTGCATGTGTGCGTGTGTGTGCACACACACCAGAGTGAATGTGCCTGGGAGCTTCCTCGCCACCCCGGGAGTCAGCCCCACCCCTGACCCAGGCACCAACTCACAGGTGACTCTGGAGATGGGCAGGGATCCTCGTCCTGGCTCCAGGCACTACCGAAGGCCCTGAAGGTCTCGCTGTTCTGCTTGTGCTTCTCGATGGTGGCCTGAATGACCTGGACACAGCAAAGCCACGGGACTGTCAGAGCCGGGAGGACTTTGACCCTGCAGGGGGACATGCCTAGCTCTGTGGCATCAAGGCCCAGGCGCCTGACCATCATGTTTCTGCTAGCCATTGGTACGGGCTCTGCCTCAGAGCCTTGCAAACTGAAGAGGCCATTTTGGAGAATGGATACCTCCAGCATGACCCCTCCTATTCATTTATCTCTGCATTATTAATTTTACTTTTAGACAAGGTCTAACTGAGTTACTCAAGCTGGCCTTGAACTTATAGTCCTCTTGCCTCAGCCTCCCAGTTAAGGCCCATTTATTTATATGGATTTGTGCAGGAAGAAGAATCAAGCTGGTGAGTAGATTGAAAGGCTCCTGTCATCTGAAGGTGCACACAAAGGCAACCATAGTCTGCAGGACTCACATCAGGGCAGGACTGGGGCCAGGAAGTGGGCCAGGCAGTGGACCAAGCCGCCACTTCTGTCTGCTCAAGATCTTGGACATTTAATTACTTCAACATTTTAGATAATTCACCTACCTGAATCCATTCTTTCTTTTCCTCTTCTGTCCTATAAAATCAAAAACAGCATGTTTGAATCCAGTCCTGGATACTGACTATAAAATCCCAGCTTCTTCTCCATCTTGAACTGACATCTAACCTAATTCTCCTGAGCTTTGGAGAGTCGGGCCGGTGGATACCGGCTTGCTGTGCAGACTCCTTGCACTGATGTAAACCAACACCTTCCTGGCACCAGCAAGTAATTCTAAAACCTTCATGTCATTGGTGGGACATGGAAGGCTGGACCTTCCACACACTGCCAGTCAGAACCTGGCCTTAAAGTATGAAGTGACCGAAGCTACCAGATGCAGGGCAGCAACTTTGATCAGCAACTCTGTCAGATGTACCGGATGGACACTTCGACACACACACAAAAACCAAAGCATGAGAATGCGACCAGCAGCACCATTTGCAATGGCAGGAGCCAGGAGCAGCCTACGTGCCTGTGTGTGGGAACTGGTTAATGATCACTATGGAGAACTGCACTGCTTTAAGAAGTGGTATAAAGATACAGGATGATGCCTGACAAATGTGATGGAAAAAGCACGACACAGAAACAGACTATACTGCAGCAGCCACCTGCACTGTGATATGTGTATGATACACACATTTGGGATGTTCACAGATGCCCATATCATACCGAGTCTGCAGCTCCAGGCACCGCTTCCTTCCGGTCAGGATGAATGTGTGCGCTGCGTTTGGCTTCACAATATCCTGCACCTGACGAGCCACGGACAAAACACAAACCCACACAAGCCGGTCACATGGGCTCTTCCTGAACACCAGCCCCATGTTCTCTGACTTGGAGATTTGTCCCAGTGGAGGTGTCAGAGGTGACCCAGCAGGCTCTGTGGTCTGCAAGGAGAGGACCCTGAGGCCCAAAGTCACGGTGGCTGATGGAGGTCACTGAGTGAGCTGGTCCATGGGATGTTGGGCTCATCCTCTGCCTGGCACAATGCTGACCTAACCCGAGGCCCAGCAGGCCTTCTCTAGAAGTTGCCCAGCCAGCCCTGTTCCCGCCTTCCCCACCAGCACTGCTATGTACCAACTCTCAGCAGGAGCTGCCCCCGCTTAGGACAGTGGAGGATCTTATGAGAGGAGCTGGGGGGCCTCGGCCACCCTGCACCATTGGAGCCCTCATGGGCAGGTACATCCTCGGTTTAAAGACACAGCTGGAAAACATGCACCTAGAAGCTGTGAAGCAGCTGCATTTCTCCCTGGAGTCCCAGATTCCATCCTCTTCGCCAGTCCACAGGGGGTCTGAGGCTGACTCTCATCAGAAGCCCAGCCCCTGACCCGCCGAACCTCTAGACTTTCCCAACTTCAGGACAGAATTGCATTGACTAGCAAAGTCATTAAAACAAGAGTAATTCTAAACACTGAGAAACGGTTTCTTCTAATTGTGGAAAAGGCTTTATCCTCTCCAGTCATTGCTTGTCATTGTTTTGCTTCACTTGTTCAGAAAATTGTAAGGGAAGTAGGAATCTTTGAGTGTCACTTAAGCTGACTTTAACTCTTTCGAGTGATTAATTACTTTGATTTCATCCGTATTTTTGGAACACCTGTACTTCAAGGCTCTCCCCACAGGGGATAAAATTCCAGTCCCACTGCTGTGAGTCACAAAACAGGCTTATAAGAAGGTGACAGCAAAGACACACAGGTGCCCAGGAGCCCTGTGTGGGGCTGAGACCGTACAGGAGAGGAGAAAGCTCTGGGCCTGGGACCCATGCAGGGCGAGTAGCCTAGGCCCAGATCCAAATTTGCTCCTGCACACAAACATCATCTTTGGAAAAAAAAAAGTCACCTTTGGGTCTCTAACTACGGCCTAGAGTCCCAGCCTCTACCACTGTCCCTCACTACTGCCCACGGTCCCCAAAGCTGGACATTTTAGTTTCTTAACAACCTCCTGTCCCCATGCATCCTGCAACAGGAGGCCATGAGGGACCTGGCAGATGGGCTAAACCAGAAAATGGAGAATTCCTCCCATACCAGGGCCAAGATAAACATTCTGGCAACCCTCCAGTCACAGGCAGAATTGTAGGCCAGAGTCTATCTAACACCCCCATCCCCGTTGATCCCCCTTTGGTGGGCAAAAGGTCTAGAGGAAAGGGCCACCCACCTGGAGCCCCGAGATCTCCATCTTCTCCCGAACGCTGAACTTCTGTCCCATGAGCCGCAGCTTGGGCACACAGTAGAGGACCATGCTGTTGAACTGCAAGAGAGGGGGCAAGGTGAGGGCCACAGGACCCTTCTAAGGCCTCCTCTGAGGTCATCCTGCAAAGATGTGCACAGTCATTTAACTATGTTTGCCCCTCTGAGGGAGGAGACCCTGGAGGACACCTCTGTTTTTGTCCTGTTCCTATTTTGTTTTTTAATGTGCTCACCGTGCACCTGGCTGACCGTGTAGTCAGGAAGAAAGTCTTTTGAATGAACTCCTGATGCATTCACAGACAGGGATGGATCTCACAAACAAACAAACAAACGGGCCAACTGAATGAAGCAGGTGCATCTCATGGCATTTATGTGGCACCCAGAAGAAGTGAATCTATGGAAACAGAGACCAGATGGACAGCAGCCAGGGCAGAGGGTAGCACTTGACCATACAGGGTCTTGACAAGGGCTTTGGGAAAAGTAAGAATCTGTGTCTTCCGGCTACACCAGGTGCCTGGGGCACCTCTTCCTTTTGTCTTTTCTCCTGCCTCCAAGCCAGCATCTGGTTCTGGGATAGCTGAAGTCAACCTGTGCTACTACGGTTAAAAACCTAGGATGATGACAGATCACAGGGTGGAGCTTCTGCTAAAGCTGTCCTCGTAGGAGAGGAAGTCCATGGATGAGCCTGTCCTTGGGCCACGGCGCCCTGCCAGGGGACACGGGGGCAGGCGAGGGAGCCCCGGAGCTCACCAAGAAGAGGTGGCGGTCCTGGGCTGTGCCGTTTTTGGCTGAGAGCTTCTGGATGTGGCCCTCTTTGATCAGCTCATTGGCTGGGTTGACAATGTCCTCCTCCCCACCCAGTTGCTCGTACACCTCCAGGAGCTTGTGCATTTTCTCCTGCAAGAGACATGGGGTCAGGCAGGCGAGCTGGGGAACAAGGTAAGGGGGACTTTGCCCTGAAACTGCAACCCACAACCCCAACTGGACGATGAACCTGTAACAGATGAATAGAGGGAAATACAGGGAAGCCCTCGAGTCAGACACTAAAGGATGCACAGAAGTTCACCACGCGGAGAGAATGATAATAATAAATAGCAGCTGCTCCCACTGTCATGTGTCAAGTGCAGTTCTATACATGGTGCGTGCTTTAACTCATTGAATCCTAGGAGATGGCTGCCACTAGCACTCACAGCTTACAGACAAAGAAACTAAGGCCTGAAGAGGTCAAGTATGAAGGGGCCTGGCCCGGGTGGAAGCTGACATGGCAAAGGATAGACTGAGCCTATTGGGAGCCCCACAGCTGCAGCACGCTCTGGTCTGGACTTGCTGTGCCCTTGGCCTTGAGTAACTGAGACCTGTTGTACCTGGAAGCAGGCCTAGGTGGGGGTGGCCCTGATGGCTATACCACTGACACAGGTAGAGGCAAGTGTGTCAAATGGTGGGTGTTGCATGAGATATAGGGCCATTAATGGGACTCACAGGGCGGGGCTGAGGGCTGCGTGGGCAGTTAGGGAGGTTGAGCAGGCACCTGGCCTGTGCACAGCTCATCATGCTGTCTTTGAGCCGGCATGTTCCAGGGGGCTGTGCATGGCCCTGGCAGATGCTGGGGAGGCCGGGCATGCACCCAGCCTGCACTGGGGGGCCTGGCTTGTCCTGGAGATGCTGAGCGTGCAGCTGGTATGTATGCGGAAGCTGGGGGGTCCTGGCGTGGACTGAGGGAACTGGCTGTGCATATGAGGGGTACTGAGGATGTACCGGGCGGGCATGCACAGCACAGGCCCAGCAGAGGAAGAGGACTCTACCCTTCTATGATGAATGAATGACTGATGACACTAATGACAGCTGACACTTACTATGCATGCTCCTGTTAAGGGCGCACCATGTGCAGAAATTCTTTTAACCCCACAAAGCCCAAAGAGACCAGGCTTGGGAGGGCCCTCTATTACTTTAAAATAAAAATTTTTTTTTTTTTTGTCTTTTTGAGACAAGGTCTCACTATGCAGTTCAGGCTGGCTTTAAGCTCGCTTTGTAGCCTAGGCTAGTCTTGAACTTGCAAGATCCTTCTGCCTCAGCCTCCCAAAGGGCCCCTATTTCTTTTTCTTTCTTTCTTTCTTTTTTTTTTTTTTTTTTTTTGGCGGTACTGGGGATCTAACTCATGACCTCGTGCTTGCCAGGCAGGCGCTTATGCTACTGAGCTAAATCCCCAGCCCTGAAGGGCCCCTATTTTCAAGATGGGAAAACTAGGGCACAGGATACTAAGGACTGTATATCTGAGAAGCAGCCTGTCTCTCCAGCTCGAGATAGAGCCTCTGACACCCTGGGTTCAGGAGTGTCAGAGGCCCATGGGGGCAGGGAGTGCAACAGAAGCCCAGGGGGGTTCAGAGTGTTCAGGCCCATGGGGAACAGGGAGAAGGTACCACAGCCCACCCACCCCTGCACTCTGCCCCACTCTGCCCTTCCCAGCAGCTGCACTCACCATTTTCCGGATGGCTGCGTTGGAATGGTTGGCAGCTGTGGAGATGAGCTCCAGAGACCCTGCAGGAGAAGGCAGACTCAGGAGCCCAGGCGGCTGCCCCAATGGGGAGGTGCGGTGTCCCTGCACTGCACATGGCCTGTCTCAGGGAGCCCTGGCTCTTCCTCATACCTGGGCAGGGTGAGGCCTGTGGCCCTGCAGATGCACCCCACTTGCTGGGGACCCACTAGGGCCCCAACGTTCCTGAATAGACCCCTTCTCATTGACCTGCTGCTGCAGTATAAGCTCCACACAGGGGCACTGTCTGGCTGCACTTTCTCCAGCGCCAGCATCCTGGTCACAGGCCAGGCAAGGGGGATCCCTCTGTACCCCACTCACTATGTCACTTCTGGACCTGCTAGAGGCTGGTGCTCTTGGTTCTTTCTCGAGGACTCTGTGTCTCCGATTCTGCCTCTGCTTATCTTATGCTTCTCTCTCCCCTTCTCCCTCTGTTTCTTTCTCTTGGCATTTCTTTCTCCCTTCACTTTGTTCCTGACCACTCTGGGTCCAGCAGTGTAAAGAGCTCACAGACGAGGCCCATGGGGGACAGGGAAAAGGTGCCACGGCCCACCTGCCACTCTCTCTGTTCCTGTCTTTCTTCCCCCTATTTCTGTCTCTTCATGTCTGTTTCTCTCCCTCTGTCTCTGTCTCCATCTCTGATTCTCCCACCCCTGCTTCTCTGAATCCCTCTCCCTCCTCTGCTCTGTTTTTCTCAGTCTGTCTCTCCCCTATATGTCTCTTATTTCTGTGTCCGTCTCTTTCCTCCTTCCCTTTTCCCTACGCCAGGGCTCACGGCAGGTCCCCAATCCCCATCCCCTCTCAGGACCCCTCCACCTGGCAGCCACCTCCACTCACTCTCAGCATCCTTGCGGTCTGGGGCATCCTCGGGGAGCCTCTTTAAGTAGTCCTTGAGCAGCAGCTCATAGCGGGGGACCCTCTGGACAGGCTCCAGCATGTGGTGCTGCAGCGTCAGGTTCCCGCATACCTCCTGCTTCTGCAAGACGGAGGGCAGAGGGGGCACCTAAGGACACGTGTGGCCACCACAGCCCTAGAGGCTGCCCAGAACTGAGGCTCAAGCAGCTGCAGCGGCATCACAACCAGAAGCCAGGTGGGCCTACTCTAGACCCACAGCTTGCTCTTCACACAAATCCTCATTGCAGAAGACAATGCAAGCACAAGGCCATCTCTTCCTGCAGGAGTTACTGTCCCCCGCTGCATTTGCCATGGACAGGAGCTGGGATATGGGGCAGGGCTTTGCCCACATGCCCTGCAGGGAATTGGATGTGGCCTCTCCTCATGTCCAGAAGTTGTCCTGAGAATTCTCCCATTATAAACATGGGCATGGGCATGGGAGTGGGCAGGCAGGGTGCTCTCACCCAGGTGGCCAGGGTCTGCCCCACCCTACTTGGGGCTCCCAGCATCTCCCAGCACTCTCTGACTTGTAGTACCCACTTCCAGAGCTCCAGCAGCAATGCACAGCTCCCCTGGGCAAAGCAAACCCTTAATCCAGCATCATAGCTGCAGACATATACAATGTATGATCCAAGTATACAGTGAATGTTTACATACTAAAAATTTATCATGGCAAAAGATGCACTCATCCATCTCAAGATAGTTCTTCCCTTTTCGAACACACTTTTCTCACCCTTCTTAACCCTTTCCAAAGCAATTCTGGCAATTTTCTTTCATGCCTTCACAAGGTGTGATCAAAAATACTGGGGAGCTGGGTATAGTAGCTCACACCTATAAAACCAGCACTTGGGAGGCTGAGGCAGGAGGATCATTGCAAATTCAAAACCAGCCTGGGCCCAAGGCCAGCCTGAACTACATAGTAAGACCCTGTCTCAAAAAGACAAAAAACAAAAAACAAAAAAAAGTACTGTGAATGCTGCTCACAAGCGCCATCCCATGGAAAGTCAGGCAGGTCAAAGCAGGACAGAGAATCCACACTCCCAGGGTCAAGGATCTAGTACCATGTGACTTCCAGCTCTTCCCCAAAGGCAAAGTGACCACAAAAGGTGAATGTTTGGGATTCATTGAAGACATTGAAGCAGCCAAGACAACTCAACCAAAGGCGCTCCTGAGAGAGGGCTTCCAGAACAGCTTCAGAAAATGTCAAGGGCTGTGGTAGCAGTAGGTCCAAAGCAAGGGGCTCGCTTTGAGGGGGGTCAATGACATGCATCTTTCCAGTGTATTCTGATCACACTGTGCACATGCCAAAAGCAATCACAGCTGCGTTCCACTTGGGGTTTCCTGAGCCCCCTTTTTTCCTCCTCCCCTGGCAGGACTCACTAGAAGCATCTTGGCTAAATAAGGGACTGATGCTTCTGCTCATAGTCCACCAGCTCCTGTGGTTCCCCCCTGGATCTCGAGGCCCCAACCATTTTCACCTGCTCCAGGGTCAACAGTTTCCAGCTCAGGGGATTGTAAGCCTGTCTGGATCCAGGGGGCCCGTGACAGACTACTCTGCAACCTTCGTACTGATGAGGAATGTGATAGTCACGTGCCCACACAGCATCTCCCCACAAGAAGCTGAGGTGTAGAGAGAGACAAGTCTGACTTCCTGGTGAAGAGGCCTGGCACCCCACCCTTCTTTAAGTGAGAATCACCAGAAAGGAGGCAAACGGAAGATGTGTGCGGCCAGGCAAGACCAAGTGAGATCACAACCTCACTCCAGGGAAACCCACAGGAGCACATCGCCTGTGCCAGATCATGGAAGAGCAGCAGAGGAACCCAACGAGTCCTGGAGGACAGCAGGACAGAGGCCTGTCCTAGATGAAAGAAGACGGACGTGATGAACGTGATGGGTAGTCTCAGGCTGACCAGAAAAAAAAAGACACTGGGACAACTGGTAACATTTGAGTATGGGCTGTGGAATCAGTAGAACTAGGACATCAGTGCCAAAATTCCTGGTTTTGATCACTGTGCTGCGGTCACTCGGGAGAATAATCTCGTCCACTCTTAGCAACAAAGAGCTACAGTATCCGCAACTAAATACCAAAAAACTAAAAAATCCTCATAGGTATGAGTATGCATTTACAGAGAAAGGTGACCAGGATACAATGTTATCCAACACTTTGTTATTTTTGCAACTTTTCTGTAAAGTTTTGAGATTATTTAAAAATAAAAGTTTCAATAATTTACAATATGCTTTGGGTTGAACAAAGGAAGCCTTCCAAAACCTTGGGAAACTTGACCATGACCCGATCCCATCTGGGCTGTGCCAGACTTGGCCCACACATGTCAGAGGTTGTGGGCCATGCTGAGCACTGCAGGGCATTCCTGGCTCCCATCAAATAGCAGGAGCCACACCAGTGTCCGCAGACAGGGACCAGGTCCTTGGGGGCAATGTCACCTGCGAAGCATGGCTGACTATGCTGAGTCTGAGGTGCAGAGCCTTCCCACAGCCTGCTGTGCCCCGCACCTGGCGTCTGCCCAGCTGTCAGGACACACTGGTCAGTAGCCAGTCTGTGACCACAAGCTGTGTCCACGAGCAAATGTCCCTAGGCAGTTGCTGCTGGGTATAGTACAGTGCCAATGTGGCCACAGCAGATGGTCATCTGTCATCTCAGTCTGACAAGTGTCCCACCCCCTAAGGCCCTGCTGGACACATGAATTTGGCTTGCACTGTGCGGATAAGGAAACTGTAGTCTGTGCTGGGCCAGGCACCATCTCACCACTCAGGGGACCTGCTCATTGAGCTCCAGGTCACACACATGTCATCATGCTGTGTGACCATGTAAATATTTTAGTGTTGTGACATCTCCCCAAAGAAAGTCAAACTCCTCAAAGTACGCCCTCCCCTGCTTGACAGGCAATGTGGGAGGAAAAGCAAATGGGTCTTGATTATGTCTCCCCCGCCATTCTTCCTTGAAACAACCAAATCAGATATAAATTGGCAAATGCAAATTTAGACAGAATTCAATGTCCTCAATCACAACATTTTGATAAGGATGATGACAATGACAAGTATGATGACAACGAGAATGATGATGGAAGAGGAGGAGAAGAAAAGAAAAACAGTAAGCTTATGTCTCAGGGCTGAGGAGGATACCTCAGGGGAGCCTGGGGAGCCCTGGCCAAGGTCTCTCTTGATAATTTACAATGCACTAGCAAAAGGCTACAAGGGAAGAAACCCGTACAACTGTGTCCTGGGAAGCAGGACTTTGCCCTGTCCCCTCTGCAGGGCTGCAGAACCATTGCACCTGCACGGTCCACAGCTCTGTCCTCTCAGAAACCCACTTGGGCTGCTCCCCATCTGCCCCAGCAGCCTGACTGCTAGTTTATGTTCCTGGGCCCCATTTCCCCGCTGTGAATTAGGAATCATCATTCATCCCTGAACGTCACTATGCAGATCAAAGCATCAAGGGGGCATCTGGACAGGTCCCATGACTTTACTGATTTTCTCTCTGCCCCCAAACATCAATGAACTCATCTACTGCTGCTGAATGCACAAAAAAACATCTTCACACACACATGCACACACGCTCACACCCAGCCCACATGTCTCGAGGCTGCCTGCTCGAGGCCACCTACCTGGATACTATGGACAACGTCCTTAAAGGATGGAGAGCGCTGGGTCCACGAGCTCACCAGCCCCACTGCCCGGTCAAAGTTCTTGACGTACTCCCCATACATCTTCAAGAATGGGGCCAGCTTCTGTAGGATATCCCCGAGCCGGGGCTTGGTGTCCCTTTGTCAGGGAGAAAGGTCATCAGAGAAACAGCCTGGGCAGGACAAGCGCTCCTAAGGTTAGGGGACCTGAACAGATGTGGGGGGCAACCCCTGGCCCCTGGTGCTAGATGGTGGTGGGTACCTGAGTCACCCTCTCTGAGACTGCTTTCTCCTCTGTGTCACATGGAGCAGGACATAGGATGCTCCTGGGAGACTGAAGAATAGAATGCCAGCAGGGGCTGGTGATGTCTGCCTGTAATTCTAGTATTTTGAGAGGCTGAGTCAGGAGAATTACAAATGTGACCCAATCAGGGTAATTTAGTGAGTTAGGAAGACCCTGTCTCAAAAAACAAACAAACAAAGCAAGAGATATGGCTCAGTGTCTTCAGCACCAACCCTCCCCAAAGAAGAAGGAGGAGGACGAGGAGGAGGAGAAGCAGCTATCTTTAAACACCTCAGCAGAACAGGCAGAGACTCAGTGCCCAAATACAGAAGACACTGAGTTATCAAAGAGGGTACTGAAGTATTATTTTGTGCCTTTTTTTCTTTTATCTCTCTCTCTCTTTCTTTCTTTCTTTTACTTATTTATTTATTTTTGGTGATACCAGGAATTGAATCCAGAGCCTTCCTACTCAGCTACATCCCAGCCCTTTTTAAATTTTCAGCTTTGACACTGATTTCTGCTAAGTTGCTATATCATCCAGGCTGAGCAGACCTTGGGTCCTCCCAACTCAGCTTCCCAGAGTGCTGGGATTATGAACATGCACTGCCACACTCGGGGCTTATTTTGCATCCTTTAATGAGAAAAGATTAGAATCAGGATTCTTCCCTGGGTTGCCAAGGTCAAAGGGATACTCGAACTTTGCAGTACTGATCACAAAGCTTACTGGTGCTTTGGGACAGGACTTCTTGGAAGTACATTCCGAGAAGTGAAAAACATTAATAGCCTTTTACGTGAGGACTCATTATTGAAGATTTGCTCTACATGAATAACGAAATCAAAGAGAAAAATCCATAGGCATAAAACCACTGCCACCAAAAACAAAACAAAACAAAAACACTGTCACAAATTCCTGCCGTGGCCGACACAAGGAAGGCTTTGACTGAAAAGTCCAGGAGCAGGCAGGGTGGTGAGGGCTTGGACCCCTGTGCCACTGCCACAGAAGGAGCCCGGGAGGCTGCATACACATTTATGGTTGAGTCTCTCGGGCCTGGAAGAAGAAAGCCTACATCTGACTTGGTCAACCAGAAGGTTCACACCCAGCCCCGACTACCTTGGGGACCCAGTGTGACCTGCTCTGCAGCTGGATCCCACCCTGAAGATGTGTAAAGTGACTGGGTCTGGTCCTGACTTCCTTAGCTGGGATCTCTGGCTCTGGTCTCAGGGGACACTCAGGGAAGCCAGGGCTGCAGGGACTGGACAGCAGGGACCCAAAGCAAACTCTAACTGGAGATGCACCCTGCTGATGGATGGAAGGGACAAAGGGGCAGGAGGCGGGGGCTGGGGATTTAGCTCAGCGGCATAAGCGCCTGCCTTGCAAGCAGGCAGTCGTGAATTCGATCCCCGGTACCGGTAAAAATGAAAAAGACAAAAAAAAAAAAAATACAAAGGGGCAGGAGGAAGAGGCTTTGTCAAGGCAAAGGTGGCCTCCATGCTGGGAGGGAAAACAAACCAGGTAGCACTCCTTGTTCCCTGGTCTGTGTTTCCAGACATAAACACTTATTCTTTAAATCACCCTCAGTGTGTTCTGTATCATCAGCCCCCTCAGAAGCTAGGCTTGGAGATGCTAAGAGGCAGGTCAAGGTCACCCCTTGGAAAGTGGGGTGCCCGAGGAGGGTGCCTCGGTCACCAGGAGACAGTGCCCTAGGCACCCCCGGGATCCCAGCCACCCAACTCCTGCTTGGAGGCCCCAGGGGCATCAGGCAGCATGGACGGCACTCACCACTCCTCCATTATCCTTGTACGTAGCTCGGGCAGCAGGAACTGCCCATGGAAGCGATAGATGGAGGAAATGTTAGAGAAGATGCCTGTCGTGACTTCTGGAGGGATCCCTGCTTCTGCCAGCCTGGTACAGAAAACCTGGGCATAGAGAAGCGTACAATGGTCACTGAGTATGGCCCACTGTGCACAGTGATGCAGGGTGGGCATTGGGCGGGGCCCTGCCTTATGCTCTCTTAAAGAATGCCAGAGCCACTGTGGCCGCTTGTTGTCAACCAACCTCATGGCCTTCACACAGATAGGCGGCAGGGGCAGTCTTGGGGGATGAAGCAGGATCCCTCTCCTCTGCCCCCTCTCAGGAGAAGCGGGAGGCTGAGGATTCCTTTCCTGTCATGCAACATGGAAGTGGGAACAATACACTCTGGGAAGCTCTGCTTTCCAAGAAGGCCTCATTTCCTGCATTCAGAAGCCCAGGGCTGCCTCTCGGACAGGGGTCGTACGTAGTGCTCACTGTCCCCAGACAAGAGCCCTGCAGCCACGTATGTGCTCAACTACCAAGAAGAAATGTCCTCAAGAGGCTCATACAACACCTTTGTCCCAGAGGCACAAAACAAGGAAAGAAAAATAAAAGTTTCTAGACCAGGCTTGAGTTTGTCAGAGTTTTAGTGTCAAAGTCATTCATATTCCAACTGTAGTGTCCACCTGGAGCTAAGGGGTGGAGTACTTTTCCCTGAAACTCAGTGCCCACCTGCTGGGACTCCGGAAGGGGACCAAGGTGGGCTTTGAGCTGTGTGCACTTCCTTACCTGGTCCAGGAGGTGTAGCCGCTTAACGTAGGTCTCCTCGGTGTGTAGGAGTTCCTGGGCAAGGTGGAGCAACTTCTGGAGGTTGGAGCACTGCGGAGAGAAGGGAAGCAAGTCACGGGGATGGGATGGAAAATCGCAGCCAGCCCGGGCTCCCTGCTGCTCACCAGCGTGAGTAGGGGCCACCGACAAAGGAGCTCACGGCCTGGGCTGGGCGCTTAGTTCTTAGCATATACACTATTTCCATCTCTGCCAATACCCCAAAGTGACTGCACCCCAGAGACAATGCTATCTTCCCGGATCTCTAACTACAGTAGTTACAGCCAACACATCAAAACTGACTGCAGAGCTGGAGGCGCTGGTCAGTGGTACAGTGCTTGCATAGCATGCGTGAGGCCCTGGGTTGCATCCCAGTACCATCAAAAAACCAAACCAAAACAAAAAAGCGAGAGATGTCAGCAAGGAAAACGGCAGGCTAGGAAGCAGCAGGTCCTCCTTCCCCACAAACAGATGGTATTGGCAGCAATGTGCGGAGCAGAAAGCCTCTTGCAGATTCCAGAGATCACTGGAAGCTACAGCACCCAGGACTGAAAACAGTGCCCATGAAAGGGGAGATTTTAAACAATAGAAATGCATTTCTCACAGTTACGGAGGCTGAAGTCCAATATCATGGACTCGCAGTTTTGGCGTCTGATAAAGGCCACCTCTCTGTTCCCAAACATCTTGAATACTTGCCTTCACATGTGGGAGGCTCTACCCCTGCACCAAGCCAGCGCACAAAGACTGCAGAGGTGGTTTATTAAGATCCCAACCAAAAAAAAAAAAAAAAAGTACAAGATATATAAGGAACAGGAATTATGATCCAATTAGAGGAACAGAATAGAGCCCCCCAAGCTGCTCTAAAGAATCAGGTCAGTGAATTACTGGAGAAAAAAGTCTAAACGGGTGGATACTGTGTCAAGCTGCTGAAAGCAAATAACCACAGGAAATCAGGAAACAATGCATGAACAGGATGTATCAATGAGGAGATTAAAAACTGTGCAAAAGAATGAAATTTATTCTGGGCCTGCAAAATACAATAACTGACCTGAGAAACTCATAAAGAGCAGCAGAAGATTTGATCAGGCAGAAGAATTAGAAAATCAAAGTCAGGGAGCAAAACAAAGGAGAAAAGCAAACAGGCTTTGAGGGACTCACTGGGGGCTGACAGAGGACCCACGCCATGCATGTGGAACCGAGAATTTACTTGAAGAAATAATGGCTTAAGAAAACCCCAAATCTGAAGAAAGAAATGGGCATGCAAATTCGTGGAACTCAAAGAACTCCAACAGAATAAATCAACAGAAAACTACACAGACAAGCCATAATTAGATTGTCTAAAAGTCAAAGATAATCTCGAAAGCAGCAAGACAAAACCAGTAGCTCATACACAGCGGCTTCCAAAAAGGTCTCGGAGGATTTCTCAAGGGACTCTCTGGGCCAGGCCGAGTGAGATGTTGAAGGGCTGAAAGGTGAAGAATACATGGCTGGGCAAAACTGTCCTGAGAAACTGAAGGAGAGGGCTGAGATGTGGCTCTGCCCTGGACCAGCATGTGGGAGATTCTGGGTTTCATGCCAAAGACCACAAAAAGAAGAAAGAGGAGGAGCTTGGTCAGGAAGAGGGAGGAAAGGCCAGGATCGGGAAAGAGAAATGAAGATTTCTCCAGATCAGCAACATCGAAGGGACTTCATTACCACTAGCTCTGCTAACAAAACAAAACAACGACAACAAAATTATGGAGAGACTCTTTCAAGTTGAAATGAAAGAATGACAAACAGGAAGACAAACCGCATGATAAGGTAAGATTCCCCAATAAAGGGAGCCACGGGGACAAATATAATGATCTATGCTATCATGATTTTGATGCACAGAGTTAAATCACAAGGACACAAGACAAACTTTAAATCTAGGTTAATCAGTGAACGGCATATAAAAATGAATTGGTGACACTGATAACACAGCAGGGGAGTGGGGGAACTGTAAAGGAAGTTGTTAAAGCCGTTACCCACATAAAATCAAATGCTATAATTTTAATGTATTTTATGTAATCACAGTCATAGCTACAAGAAAAATAGCTATGGAATATATACAAATGGAAACGAGAAAGAAATCCAAAGCAATCAGTGGCAAACAAAAAAGAATGAAATGGGAAGGACAGTAAGAGGAATATAAAAGAGGGATACAAAGAGGAATCAGACATACAGAAAACAACAGAAAAGGAATCTTGAGTCTTCTCCATTGATAATTGCTTTAAATTAAAGTGGATTAGGGTTGGAGATTTAGCTGAGTGGTGCCTGGCAAGTGTGAGGTCCTGAGTTCGATTCCTGATACCACCCCAAATAAATAAATAACTAAAAAACGTAATTAAATGTCTCAATTAGAAAAAATATAGGCAGATCATGTGGGGCTCAGGATTGAGAAGCCCAGTCCACTTTTCCCATGAGTCAGCAGAAGCCATGCTCAGTCTCGGAGAAGCACATCAAGAAGCTAGTTTGATCTTCCTGTAGGCCAGGTAACCCGGAGGCGGAGCCCAGGAAGAGGGAAGCCAGTTTGCTTTTCCAGTGTACAGACTGGAGCAAAGGCTGAGAATCCATTCAGAGGACAGGCTGAGTTGCTATCAACCGAGGTAAAAAACCAACTACATGCTTGTATGGTTTGATTAACTCTGCAGGACTAAGGCAGGTAGTCTGAGCATCTGCTGGGAGGATGACAGTATGCATTACGGCAAATGTGGGGGATTTCCTTCTGTCATGTTTTGCAATCCAGTATTGTTCTCACTGTTTTGTTTTGTTCCAGTTTATTGTTTTCTTTTATTCAATGCTCTGTTTTGATTGGTTTTATTCTGCTTTGTTTGATTTTATTAGGTCTGAGGAAATGGACAGCCATTGTGAAGATAACAAGATATAACATGGCAGCCACTGTTGACCACCTATTGTCCTGTTCTGAAGGTCTGTACCACTTTGATTGGCTTTATTCTGTTTTGTGCTGTTGGGTTTTATTGTCCTTAAAATTAACATATATATATATAGTCAGAGGGTGTTGCTCAGAGGATGGTAAAGAATTTGCCTAGATATACAAGGCTGAGGGCTTGATCTCCAGCATTACACATGCACAGCTTTAGGCTGACTGAGTGGGCTGAAAGAGTGGAATCCAACTCTATGCTATTTATAAGAAACTTCGTTTGGGTATAAAGACATATATGAACTGAAAGTGGAAAGAATGAAAGGAGATATTTCATGCAAATGGTAACCAGAAGGAAACAAGAATGGTCAGGTTTACAGCAGACAAAATAGGCTTTCTTGAAAAAGTATTACAAGCAGCAAGGACATCATATAACAATATAAGGAAGGGCCAGGACTGGAGATTTAGCTCAGCAGCTTAAGCGCCTGTCTGGCAAGCGCTAGGTCGTGAGTTCAATCCCTGGTACCAAAAAAAAGACATAAGGGCCAAGCCACTCAGAAGGCATAACAATGACTATTTATGCACCAAAGCTCAGAAATTCTAAATATATGAAGCAAATTTTGATAGATTTGAACAGAGAAATAGGTGCCAAGAAATGAAAAGTTGGAAATTCTAATACCTCACTCTCAATGGACAAAACAACCATATAGAGGATTAGTAAGGAAATAGGGACTTTGAAGAAAACTATAAATAATGATGCTTAACAGAAAAATACAGAATACTCTACCCAACAATACCATAATATACATTTTCCTCAGGAATAGGCTTCACATTTATGCATCAAACAACTCTTAACAAATTCAAAAAGACTGAAATCATCCCAGTATCTTTTTTTTTTTTTTTTTTTTTTTTTGTCTTTTTGAGACAGGGTCTCACTATGCAGTTCAGGCTGGCCTTGAGCTCACTTTGTACCCCAGACTAGTCTCAAATTTGCAATGATCCTCCTGCCTCAGCCTCCCAAGAGCTGGGATTATGGGCGTGCGCCACCATACCTGGCTCATTCACGTATCTTTTCCAGCCACAATGGAATGAAATTAGAAAACAGTAACACAATGAAGATCCACAGATACGTGAAAATTAAATAATATACCTTTAAACAACCAATGGGTGAAAGAAGTCAAAGGGAAACTAGAAATACATTGAGACTAAATGAAATTATGTCTTTAGAGAACCCAGCAAAAGTAATGCAAAGATGGATATTTATAACTTTATATATGCACATTAAAATATGTACATTAGGGGCTGGGGATTTATCAGTGGCGTAAGCGCCTGCCTTGCAAGCAGGCAGTCGTGGGTTCGATCCCCGGTATCGATAAAAAGGAAAAAGACAGGGGGCTGGAGATTTAGCTTAGCGGCATAAGTGCCTGAAAAAAAAAAGAAAAAAGAAAAAAAAAAAAAAGGAAAAAGACAAAATATATATATATATATATGTATATTAAAAGAAAAAAGATCTTGAGTCAACAACCTAAACTTACAGATCAACCTAAACTTACAAACCAGAGAAGACAGAGTAAGTTAAATGCAAAGCTAGCAAAAAGGAAGGAAACAATAAAGATAAGAACCGAGATAAATGAAACAGAATGGCAAGACAATGGAGAAAAAAATAAAAAACAGAAGTTGAGTTTTCAAAAAGAAACAATCCACAAACCTTTAACTAGATTAATTTACAAAAAAAGAGAATTAAAACCAGAAATGCAAGAAGGGAGATTAAAATTGACACCATAGAAATTAAAACATGAATAAATATATCCCAATGAATTGTATCACCTACAAGAAATAAATAAATGCTTAGAAACACACGATTTATAAAGGGCAAATCATGAAGAAATGAAAACTCTAAAAAGATTAGCAGTACATAAGAACATTGAATCAGTAATCAAAAACTTCCCAGTGAAGAAAAATTCAGGACCAGATGGCTCCACTGATGAATTCTATGACAAATTTAAATAACAATTAGCCAAGGGTGGTGGTGCATGCTGGTAATCCCGGCACTCCGGGAGATTGAGGCAGGAGGATCTTTGCAAGTTCGATAACCAACCTGGGCTACAAAGTGAGCTCAAAGCCAGCCTGAACTGCATTACCACACTCTGTCTGAAAAAGCTGAGGAAGAAGAGGAGGAAGAGGAGGAGGAGGAGGATGAATTAACACAAATCTTCCTGAAACTCCTCCAAAAATTTGAAGAGGAGGGAATACTTCCAAGCTCATGCAATAAGGCTAATGTTATCCTGATACAAAACCACACAAAACATTACAAGAAGAGAAAAATACAGGCCAATATCCTTGATGGATATTGATGTCAAAAGCTCAACAAAATACTAGAAAAACCAATGGCATATTGAAACCCCCACGAGTAAGTCAAATTTATTTTAAAATGAAACTATGGTTCAACATATAAAAACCAATTAGGGCAATATGCCACACACTGACAGCATGGAAGACAAAAAAGACATCACAGTGGATGCAAAAAGGTGCCCAAGACTAAACACCATTTCACAATTAAAACACTCAGCAAAGTGGGAACAGAAGTAAACACCCTGAGTGTCACAAAGGCCACCTATGCAGATCCCACAGCAAACCTCCCACTCCGTAACGACGGACTGAAGGGCTTTTCCTCTAAGGTCACAAACAAGACAAGGTTGGGCGCCTACTTTTGCCAGCTGTGCTTCACACAGTACTAGAATCCTTAGCAAAGCAATCAGGCAAGAAAAATAATTTTTAAAAAACTCCTCCAGGCAGCCAGGTGTGATGGCTCACACCTGGAATCCCAGCACTCGGGAGGCTGTGGCAGGCGGATGGTTGTTAAGTTTGAGACCAGCCTGGGCTACAAAGTGAGCCCAAAGTCAGCCTGAAGTGCACAGGGAGACCCTGTCTCAAAAAGACAAAAAAAAAAAAAAAAAAAATCTTCCACATTGTAAAGGAAGTAGCAAAAATTAAATCAGCTCACAGATGACCTAACCTTACTTGTAGAAAATCCTAAAGACTCCATTAAAAAACTGCTGAGAGTAATGACCTAGATCTGCAGTCTCAGTAACTCCTGGGGAACAGGCTGCTTCAGGACTGACCACACACGTCTCCCCAGGGAACTGCTCACCCCTGCTGTGCCCACAATGCCAGCTGCTGCCGGGTGGGGGACCACACAAGGCATGGCGAGTTCCTGTCCTGGAGGTGGCATCAGAATGGGCCACCACAAGCCAGCAGCGTTCCTCCTGATTCAAACACAGCTGCCCCACGATGGTTTGGCCCGAAGGAGAACCCGGGAGGAAATGAGAAGCCCAGCTCGGAACAGCTTGATCCCAGCTGCTTAACTCAGCACCTCGTGCCTCAGTTTATCTATTTGTAAAAGAGACCCTGCTCCCAGTCCCCCTTGCATGAGCTTGAAAGGACATGTAAAATAGTAGAGGCCCCCTGTACTCTCAATGGCTTACCCTACACACGCCAGGCACAGAAATTAAAGGTACTACACGTTTTAAGTGTAATTCAATCTCGGTTATATTTTATTAATATAAATAAATGAATATATGAGTATTCATGAATACAGAGTCTGCAGTAGGATGGAAGGAAAGTCTGCCCAGGAGCAGTTCTTTTCTGGGAATGGATCCAGCCCTCCTCCTCTACCTGGCCCAGTGTCCCTCCAGGCCCCGTGGGAATGGCAACTGCGTGCCTGGCCTAGGATACCCCATGTGTCCTCTGAGAGCTGGGTGATTTCCTGACCAGAGGTGTGCGGGATTACACCCTTATCCTTTCACGGTGCCTTTCCTTCATTATTTCCAGTTTTCTTCTAACTCATTTTTCACGGGTGCAAGTTGATCTGCCAACTTGATGTGTGTATACACCTGTGTTACCCCAAATTAGTATCCTTCATTCTACCTCATATAGACTGGATCTGGAATGTCCCCCAGAGGCTATGTGTTAAAGGTTTGGGCCCCAGCATGGAGCTCCTAGGAGGTAGTGAGCCGTAAGAGGTAAAACCTGGTGGGAGTCTTTGGGTCACTGGGGGCGTGGCTTGGAAGGGAACTGTGGGTACGGTTCCTTCTTCTTTCTTTTTTTCACTTCCTTGTCATGAGATGAGTAGTTTTACTCTGTCACCTACTCTTGCCAAGATGCATCACTGCAGGACCAAAGCCATAGACTAACTAACCATGGACTGAAACTTCTGGAACTGTGAGCCTAAATAAACATTCCATCTTTGTCAGCTGCTTGTCTCAGTAGTTGTCATGATGGAAGGCAGACTCAGCAGGACAGGCAGAGTGCCCTGGGTTCCTGGACCAATGCTTCCTCCAAAGATCACCCGGTGCATGGTGAACAGTGTCCTAACTCTGTGCCCCCGAAGTGGGGAATGTGGAGCACCACCTGGAGGACTCTCCTTGAACAAAGAGCAATCATCTCCACTTTGGCTAAGCCTGGCCCTGTCTCTACACACTGATGCGCACAGAGCTGGCTAAGCCATTCCCTTTCCCTTCAACTGGTGCTCAGCAATGTAAACAGGGCTGGCTGAGGAGCTGGTGTGTAATGTTTGAAGCTGGGCTGCTGTTTCCCTGCCCCGTGACTCCCAAAACATGGGTGACACTGGTGGGATGAAGAGCCAGGGCTCCAGGGCTATCCTGGGATGGAGCCTCAAGATAAGAGGTTGTGACTGCCCAGGGCAGAGAAGCTTGCACCTCAGAGCTGAGGCACTGCCCCCTCCCTATACATTAGATGCTCCCTCCACTGTGCTATGAAGATCGGGCTCTCTGCATGTCCTCCTCTCTGCATATTGCAGAGGTGATCTCAGGCCTCCTGCCCAGCTCACGGCGCTCACATATTTCCTGCCATTCTCCCAGTCGCTCATCCTCAGTCCTCTCCCTTCTTCACTAATTAATGAAATCTGGGTTGGATCCTGGGTTGAGGCCTTTGTTCTTAGGACCCCTTGGCTCCTCATAACTATAAATATGCCCTAGTATGTTTATTCTCGCTGTGGGCTAGAGTGGCAATTGCACTGGAAGTGGTGGATTAAGATTAATTTTTGGAATTCCAACACACTTTCCATAAGGTTACAAGTATAAACTTCCTGGACCAAGACAAGGTCTGGGTAGGGCTTTCTATTGGAGCAGACAACCTGTTCTCACTAGTGACAGAAGCATCCACGTCTTCCTCTGACACAACAGACCTTCCTGGACCTAAGTGGAGGAGCCTGGGAGTCTGCACTTTTCCAGCCATTTCTTTCCCATGTTCTGACATCTGTTTGAGTTTATTAGTAATATTTGCTGTATATATTGATTACTCATGGGGAGTTGGTACATGTGTACAACACATCTGAACTCTTTTTTTTGCCTGCTCTCCTCTCATCTCTCCTCTCCTTCTATCTCTGGTCCCCCTCCCCATTTGGAAGGGATCTATCCCTCTATTTTCTATTACTTATCTTTTATTTTTCTCTTTAAACTGTTTACCCTTTAGACTTCTCATATAAAAGAAACCAAGTGATATTTGTCCGATTTCTCTGTCTGATTTATTTCACTTAGTATTATGGTCTCAAGGTGCACTACAAGTGACTCATATTTCCTCTTCTTTACTATTGAGTGGTGCTCCATTATATGTAAGTACTATATTCTCTTTACCCACTTATCTGTTGGTGGATATACAGGATGCTTTCAAGATTCAGCTATTACGAGTTGTGCTGCTATAAACATAACTATACATGTTATCACTGTAATACAATGTTTATATTCTGATACTTGGGCCTTGCTGGTCCTGCAGAGACTTCCTTTCTCTCCCAAGGTCAACCCACTCCTAGAGATAATAAAGGATTCCCCTCTGGTGACATTTTTCAAATGCAAACCAAATGTTACAGTATACAGGATCAAAGTTGCAAAGTGAAAGACTGCATTGAGAAGAAAGCCCTAGGGTACTCTGGTGTGTAGGGACTTGATTCCCTGATTCACAGTGTTCAGCTATCCAGGCACGCAAGAGACAGCTGCAGCCATGATTCAAGGAAGCCCAACTATTGCTTAACAGACCTTGGCATCATTTACAAGGTGCTGCTTTTACACGTATGCATAATGCAAGAGCTGTGAGGTCAGGAAGGCCTCTATCCAGATTTCAGAAGACCTGGGAGACCATATGGTTCATGCCTGGGAAGCTTCTTGCACTGACGGGCAGTGTATGAAGTTGTGAGAGAAAGATGAAAGCGTAGCTAGCCAAGAATCCCAAAAGTTGGAGAAGCCAGGAATGTATAATTTCTGTTGAAAGACCAACAGCAGTGACCAGAGCCAGCACAAGACAGAAGCCATGAGGGTTACAACCACCAGCCACAGAGGTAGGACTAACCAAGCTGTTCAAAATTTGCAGTTCACCACAACTTGCTATGGGTGCTGTACATAGAGCTACAGGATTTAATGCTTGCTCTGCTGGGTTTCTATCTTACATGGGTATTATCCTCCGATTCTCTCTTTTGGAATGGGAATATTTATCTCACCAAGTGTTTAACTTTCTTTTTGATTTTTACAGAACTCACGGGTAAGAGTTAGCCTTAAGTCTCAGAGGAGACATTGGACTTGGACTTCTCAGCAATGTTAAAACAGTCAGGACTTTGATAACTCCTAGAGAAAAACTAAATGCATTTTACATAAAGGGGTCCACAGGAGTCTTTTTGAGGGCCAGGGATAGAACATGATGGTTTATGTCTAGATGTCCCCCAAAGCCTCGTCAACCATAGGTAATACTTTTGGGAGGTGAATGAATCAGAGCAGTGCAATAGTGATCTTTGGGTTAGTCCACTGACAAGTTCATAGCTAAATATTCTCTTAGGAGGTAGGGCCTGGTCAGAAGCAGTGGGGTAGTGGAGGCATGGCTTGGAGGGTTTGTCTTCCTTTCCAGCTCCTCCTTTCACTATTTCCTGGGTGCCCAGAGGTGAGCACTGGTTCCCTCCACCATGCCCCTGTCCATGCCATCCTGCCTTAGGGCTTGCTGACTGTAGACTGAAGCTGAGCCAAAATAACCTCTCCTTAAGTTGCAAGTGTCTAGTATTTTGTCCCAAACAGCAGGCAACCTAGATACACATCCCCATTTTCTCTGTGGGACTGTTAGCCACCTGCCCTCATCACCCCAGGACCAGACAAATACCAGATAGCCCAGGAGAGGCCCTTGGCCCCAGAGCTGCTGAAATTATTCAAACCAGAAATCCATAGCCTGCTCAACCTGCCTCGCCTGCTCCTTCCTGTGAAAACCACAAGGCTCCCACCCTCTCTTCCCCCTTTCTCCCCTTCCTCCCTGGCCACCTGACTGACCCTATGCTATCCATAGTTGTCACCTGATCTATTGACTGTCAAGCACTGAATAAGAACACCTGTATGAAACATGGCCCCAAGCTGCCCTCTGCAAAGTTGGTTCACAGGGCCAGGCCCTGGCTTCCCTTCCCCATCAATCCTGTTGTCTCCTGACCCCACTGGATTAGTAGCAACCTCACCACCAGGAGCCAGCAAGCCCAACCCAGCCTAGTCACATGTCTCCTGCACCAGTCACTCGGTGACATGCCCACATCCTGAGAAATGAGCCCCCACCCTGAGCCATGCCCTGTGGGTGACCCTGGGGAGATAGCATGCAGTCTGTGCCTCAGTTTCCCCAGTGGTGCTCACACTGCCTTCCTCACAGGGATGCTGACAGCAGGCACAAGACAGAGGGCAGCTGTGGGCAGTGTCACCCACCAAACTGACCATCACCTTCCCTTTCACAGTATAAGCATGGACACTGAGCTCAGGGTCATGGTGCAAGGTGCCATGGGCATCTAGCCCAATTTTTCCAAGCAGACTCGGCCCCAGGACTCTCCCCTAGTGAGGGGCAAGCCTATGTGCTTCCCTCTTGAGAACAAGGCACAGGTAGTGCCCACCACAAACCTCAAGGCTCTCCCATGGAGGGCTGGGGGCCAAGGGGAGGCCTACCTGGGCCGGGCCAACTTCCTCATCAGCCTTCAAGGGTTTGTTCTCAGAGTCAGGCTCCTCACTGACATCACTGTCGGCCTCTTCCCGGGGGGCATCCTGGGGGACCTGGCTGCTGATAGCTGTCTCAGGGTGCAGCCCCAGGCCGGCAGGGCCTGGGGGGGCCTCGCCACCATCCTCACAGGGGAAGCTCTCGCCGGCCACGCTGGCAGATGGACTGTCGATCCCACTGTCCCGGTTGGGAATCTTCATGCTGCCTGGTGCCCCCAGTGGGCCAGCATTTGGGTGGACGTCCTCTGCTGTGGCAGGGCTTTCAGCACTCCCTGGGTGGCTTCCAGGCCTGATAGGAAGCGCTTGCAGCTTCCCCAGGGAGGAGCTGCCAGGCCCAGCATTGGGTTCCTCTAGAGAAGAAGCAGCTTCTGCGGGTGCTGAGGACCTTCTACTCGACTCCATCCTCAAAGCCAAAATCACTGCGCTCTGTGCGACACTGGCCAGGGGCTTCCTGTGGGGCAGAAACAAGCCCAGCTCAGTGCAGCTCCCCAGGTGGGCCTTTGGGGAGGTGACTGGATGGTGGAGGTGGGTCACTGCAGCTGGGGCCTCCCTGGATCACCTCCTGCCTGCTTTTCCATGGGCTGTTTCTTTTCAGCCATGCTGCTCTGCCATGCTACCCTGCCTGGGAACCAGCTGACTATGGACTGAAACCTTTACAAACTGTGAGCCAAAAGAAACCTTTCCTCCTTTAACTTGCGGGTTTTGGGTATTTTGTCTCAGCAATGAGTAATTAATTGGGACACTGTGCTAGAGAATGCCTAGGGCAGGCAGGCTGGAGCTGTGCTCAAAATCTCAGTACCCTGGTCAGTTTTAGCTGAGTCCTAGCTAGATGATTTCAGAGAATGGCAAATGTTTTATTTTAAAAATAAATTTTGCTGAGTATGGTGGTGCATTCCTGTAATCCCAGCACTCAGAAGGCTGAGGCAGGAAGACGATGAGTTCAGGGTCAGCCTAAGCAATTTAGTAAGAACTGGTCTCAAAAAAGTCTCTCCTATATTAAAAAAAAAAAAGACAGACAGAAACAGCATAATCCTACTTGCTGCTCATAAATTCAAAATATACGTGAAAAATAATAAGCCCTGGGGCTTCCATCTGTAACATATGTTTCACACCTACAATATTTCCAGGAGGTGAGGCTGGTGACTCAGCGTGCCAGCCTCTTCTTCCTCACCATCCCCATGGCCCACTGGACAGCAATGGGGGCCAGTTCCAGGAGCCGCCAGCCATGACTGTCCCACACACTCCCTGGGAGACCAGGTCACAGGTGGTCTTGCCCAACACTGTGGACCGGACCAAGGCTCCTGCCTCCAAATCCCACCTCCCAGGCACTGGGGCCACTTCACACTTGGACACCAGCCTCTTCTGGCACCCTCCAACGAGAGGCAAATTCAAGTGTCAATGCTTTCTTTCTTTTTCTTTTTTAATCTTTTTGGGTAAAGGGTCTCACTGTGCAGTGAGGGCTGGCCTTAAGCTCACTTTGTTGCCCAGGCTGATCTCAAACTCGCAACAATCCCCCTGCCTCAGCCTCCTGAGGGCTGGGATCACAGGTGTGTGCTGCCACACCTGGCTTCTATTTTATTTTTTGAGGCAGCATCTTGCTATGCAGTTCAGGCTAGCCTTAAACTCACCCTGTAACCCAGGCTGGCCTCAAACTTGTGGTGATCCTCCTGCCCCCTCCTGACTCCTGGGATTACAGGCATGTGCTACCACATCTGGTTCTATTGTGGATCCTTGGTGCCCAAGGAACTCAAAAGTAAGACTAGACTCCAGTGGGATGGACAGTCTCCAAAGAGGTCTTTTGAAAAAATTTGTTTATTTGTTTGTTTATTTTTTAATATACTGGGTTTGAACCTAGGGTCTTCACAACTGTGCTATTTTTATTATCTTTTGAAATATATATATATATATATTTGTTTGTTTGTTTGTTTGTTTGTTTGTTTTTTCCCTCACTAAGTTGCCCAGGCTAGGCTTGAACTTTTGATCTTTCTGCCTCAGCACTAGGACTACAGGCAGGCTGGAGATCGTGCTCTAGACCCCAAGATGCTGCCACAGAGGGACCAAAAGGCAGTGGATGGCAGTCACTTACCCCTGTCCAGGGCAGCCCCCTCTCCAGTACGGGGTGCTGAGGGCTGACAGCCGGTGCTTGTTTCCTGCTGTGCTCTGGGGTTGGCCAGTAGCAGTGGCGGGAGGGGTCCTCTGAGAATCTCTTGCCCAGCAGGTTTGCAGGGGGCTGCTTAGGAGGCCCTGGAGAAACAGCAGAAGGGGATGAGAAGCACTTCCTCTGGCTGCCGTCAGTGCAGGCAGCGGAGGCCGCAGCGGTAAGGGAGGGGAGGGGAAGGTCAGCACGGGTCCCCACCCAGGGCAGTGAACCACGTGAGGGACACAAGCACCTGCAGACGGACACAGGACCCAACGCTGCCCATCATGGGTGCTGGGGCGATGCAGGCAGCTTGAGAAGGGCAGGCAGCACCTGAGACCACGCCCCATGGGTGAGCAGAACCCCACGGCCAGGAAGGAAGGTCACCTCAAAAGTATGGGCAGCTCCCGATGCGAGGAGAGCCCACCCCCAATCCCTCACCCGGACACACACACAGCACCCTCGCACATGTGCACACACACACACACACACACTCACACTGGCTCACACACACACTCACACTCAGGAAGTCTTCTGCCGCCCAAGACTTTGCGTGTCCCCTTCCTTACTGCTAAGCACCATGAAGCAAGATCTGGGCGGAAGCCGGCTTTGAACGCTTACAGACGCGCAAGCAGAAACTGGGTGTCTCAGGGCCTGCCGCGGGCTGCCTGCCTCCCAGGGCAGAGGGCTGCGCCAGCGGAGTCCCCTCGGGCTCTGTTGGGGACAGGCCCCTGAGCAGAGCACCTCCTGGCCACTGGCCTCCGCCTGAGCATTTACTTCCCGAGGGAAAACTGCCTTTGAGTGGACCTTTCTTTCAGTGACATCACACTCATTTCAGGTAGACGTTTATCACGGGCTACCATCGCATTCTTAACGAGCTCAATGGAGAGAAATATTAAGATTTCCAAACAGAAAATACACGTTTTGCAGCATTCTTCTGTTAGCTTGGGAGACACACTGGAGTTTCTAGGAGTAAGACATGGGGTGAAATGTGAGCCTCACTCAGCTGTGGCTTGTGCAGAGGCTGTGTCTGGTGGGGCAGAACAGGGCTCAGCCCCAGCTCAGTGAGACTGTGCCTCACCAGCAACCTCATTTACTCTCATCTGAGATCATGCAGAAAGCACAAGACGCTGTACACCAGAGAAGTTGGCAAGGGGCTACATGCCAGGCAGCAAGCCCCAAGGACCCTGAGAGATGGGAACAAACAGGTGAGCCTCACTGTTGCCCTGGCTCACCACTAGAGACTATTTCTGGGCCAAGGAGCAGGGAACGTGGGTGTATGGGGGGCTCTCCTAGTTGAGAAGAAGCAGATGAGAGTGTGAGAGACCAAAGGAGACACAGCGTTGGAGAGGAGAGGTCTGCACAGAGGAGGAATCCAGAGCCTTCAGTGGGGTCCCAAAGGACTGTTTAGCATGCATAGGAGGAAAGACTGGACAAAGAACCTCCTGACAGCACCGGGGGAGTGGTCTGCAGAGACCTTCACTCTGCACTCACCTAACAAATCCTGAAGAAGGTCAAGCTGCTTACTGAACCCAAAAAAATCCAGACACTTATAGTAGTGAAAAACCATCTAGCAAGACATAAGACATAATGACTAGCATCCAGTCAAAAATGACCAGTCATGAGCCAGGCATTTAGCTCAGTGGCATTAAGCGCCTGCCTTGCAAGTGCACGGTCATGAGTTCGATCCCTGGTACCAAGAACAAAAACAAAAACACCCCAAAAATGACCAAGCATGCAAAGGGATTATAAAGGCATAATGGAGGGGGAACCCCTAAAACTTCAGTTAATTGAAACTGATGTGTAGCTACACAGAGCAGGCAGGGACATTAAACCAGCTATCACACCTGGATTTGAACGATGGCAGGATGGCTTCAGGCCAGGCCGATGCTGACCCTGCTTAGCTTCACCTGAGGTTAATTTACATACAAACCCACTGAGGCCATATAAACAGTGAGCAAGGCCTATGGCCAGGCAGGAGGACCAACATCCAGCCAAATCAATGTGACCTAGAGATGACCCAAAGCCTTGAATACTCACCTCGGGGGCTCAGGATGGGGAATTCTCTGGCACCTGCTGGTGTGGCCAGGGGTCTCTGGCTTCTCCACTGAGAACACAGTGGGGTGCTTCATGCCTTGAAATTGGGGTAGGGGTCAGTGGAACCTCAGAGCAGCCTAGGGGCGTGTGGACAAGCTGAGTGGGGAGAAAAGGAGACAATTAACACTGCGTCTACCGTTCTGCTTGGACATCACAGTCAGATACTTGCAAATTCAGCTCACGCTACCACGTCTGGTCATCTGAACTATTTAAAGATCTTAGTCTGCTATTGTCTGATCTTCAGAGTCCCTGAGCCCCATGTATTAAAGGTGTGGTCCCCCAGGAAGTGAGTTCTTCAGGTTGCAAGGCCTAATGAGAGGTCTTTAGGTCATCAGGAATCCTGGCCCTTTTCTCTGCCTCTCTTTCATTTCCCACCATGAGGGATCAATGGCGTAACCTCCCCAGGGTCCTGCTATAGGTTGCCTTGCCATAGGCCCAAAACAATGAGGTCTATTGATCATGGGTGGAAATCCTCAAATCTGTGAGCAAAAAATAACCCTTTTCTCTTGATAATTATCTCAGGTATTTTGTTACAGTGTCAGAAAGCTGACTAACACACAATTCTTTTTTTAGAAAGCTTCAGAATTGTGGAAAATCAAAAGGCAGTCACATGACCTGTCACCCTTGCACCTTGTGACCACAGATCAGTCAGGCGGGCTGGATGCAGGATGGGGTGGAAGTGTCTCACTCTCCCAGGCATGGGCCAGCTTCACTCAGCGCAGTTCCCAATGTCAGCCCACCATGTCCTCAAGAATTTGGGTCTCCCGAAAGAATTAAAAGTTGGGTGTCAAACAGGTACTGATGACACCCAGGTTCCCAGCAGCAGTGCTCACAATAACCAAAATGTGGGTGCCATATGAGTGTCTCCTGATAAGCGAATTGTATAATGAACTGAATTTTGAGAGTCCCCCAAAGACCTCTGTGTTGAAGGCTTGGTATCAACCCTGGCACTATGGGAGGCAGTAGAACCTTAAAGGACCTGGCCTAGTGGGCAAGAGGTTATTGGGGGTGCCCTTGAAAGGGCTCTTGGAATCCCAGTCTCTTATGGTCTCTTTCTTTGCTTCCGGGCCACCTTGAGGTGAAACATGCCTCCATAGAAGCCTCCAAAACCAGAAGCACAGATAAACCTTTCTTCCTTACAGGTTAATTTAGCTCAAGCATTTTGTTACAGCAACAGAAACAAACACAAAGGGATAAGCAAAATAGGCTCTGGCTATACAGTGGGACCTATTTAGTCTTAAAAAGGAAGGAAATTCTGACCCCTGCCACAACTGAGTAAACCCTGAGGACATTATACTGGGTGATGTAAGCATGACATCAAAATGACAAATTCTGTACTGTTTCACTTATGTGGAATCCCTAAAGGGGTCAAGTTCACAATCATAGAAGGGTGGCTGCCAGGGCTGAGAGAGAAGGGAGGGCAGAGTTAGGGTTTAATGGGCACGGTTTCTTCTGCAAGGATGAGAAGACCCTGCAAGGTCACACCAAGGTGACAGCCACTCAGTGGAGCACCTAGGGCCCCATTCTCCCTGTCCACCTGTCAGTACACTGGCCCTGTAGAATGTGGCCTTGCTGGGGGCAGCCACCTGCCCCTCTCTGGGCCTTGGCACAAGGACCTGATCTCTGTGTCACTGCCCTCTTTCCCCACGACCCTCCTGTGAGGCCAAGGCCTGGCTGGCTGTGCAGCCCTGTCCCACAGGAAGAGGCTGGGCGTTACGCACGGACACTGCACTCCTGTGCCTTCCTGGTGGCCCTGGTCTCATTCAAGGCCCTGTGAGTGACTGTGACGAAGTGGAATACATACCTGAGACCAAAGACCCCCTCACTGGGTAGCAAACCCAGAAAAAAGGAGGGGAGGGCTGGAGCTCCCCACCCACCCAACAGGGTAAAACAGAGGCTTCTGGCAGCCCCAGCCTAGTAGGAGGTCCTGGCTGGACTCCCCATTGCTCTAGCCCTAGGCCTATCCCTTAGGGACTCCCTGGGGACCAATAGCCCCCACAGACTGGCTGTGGCCCAGGGGACTCTGCCTTGAAGGCAGTGAGGACACAGTGGGCCCCAAGCACTTGCATCTGGCATGATCCTGTCACTAGACCAGACTGTCCAGGTCACCAAGGAAAAGCTCAGCATCCTCCAGCCTCAGTCTCCCTGTCTGTGAAAGGGACACAATCATAGTTTTAGGAATATTCCCAGAGCCTGGAGGCAGCACACAACCTCGAGGCCCTCATATTTTTAGCCACTCTGGCAGACCGACACACACAGGGTATCTCGCCCATCTGACAGGTTCGTGGGGCCCAAGCAGCAGGGGCCCACGCTGGTTGGTATTGGGGATGGGTGTGAGTGGTGAGGGAGAGAAGGATGAGGAGGGTTGCCCGGATGATTTAGAACCCAGATCCCTGGCATGCATGGTTTCCACTCTGTCACAAAGCAGGGCTCTATGTCCCCTGAACTACAGCAGGACACAGGAAAATCAAGGGGCAAATGCAGCACCAATGATTTTGGCTCCAGGTTGGCTTGGCAGAAACTCACAAAACTCAGGAATGCAAGGGGATTAGCGCGCAGAGCTACACCAGGAAGTGCTGGCGCATGGCAGGTAGGGCCACCTCTTCTACAGGGCTGTTGCATCCAGGAGGCCAACACTGTTACCATTTCTGCTTAATCTTTTCACTTGTAGGTTTAGTGGATTTTTTTTTTTTTTTTGAGATAAAGTATCACTCACTATGTTGCCTTTGAAAAATTTCCTAACACAGAACAGGAGAAAACCATTTCCACTACAGCTCCAAGATCCTCAGCTCCACTTGAGCCTTGATCAAGGCAAGAATTCCCTGAGGCCAGGCTCACTCTCACCCCAACAGGCACCTTGGGTTCATTATAGCATTCTTTCCTCCTTTGATTATAGTTGACAATTATTTGTTTTCAAAGATAATAATAAAAAAAAAATGGACAAGAACTTTCTGTGGAAACTTCCACTCCACTGTCCACGTGGACCTCTCCCTCCACCTCCCTCCCTGACTCTGTCTTTCTCCCAGGAGCCACATAAGCCCTTCCCAAGACCCACCCTACCCAGCTAGATGGTCTTCCCTTAAACACCCTCCCCCTCCCCCATCCCTTCACCTTGACCTCACCCCGACCTCCCTCCTCCACTTCCTGCTTTTAGGCCCCTCCCGCTGGATTAAAGGACAAAGGAGCGGCAGCTCTTCCTGTTGCGCAGACCTCGGTGTTGTGGGTGATTAAGGAAATGAAAGAATTCAAATTCACCTTGTAAGGAACTTTTATATACGGTGTAATGCATTCTTTCGCATAAAAAGTGTGCTGTGATTAAGTTCAAATTTTGAAAATATAAACTCCAAATTGAGATGGGGAAGCTCAAACCCCAACACCAAAGCAGTCCTCTGAAGGTCTGTCCCATCACATCTCTTTACCTAAATCAAGGTGATGACTGCGAGTGACAGCTGGATGAGACGGGAAGGTCCAGATGGCAAATGGACCTCGAAAATTTATCCACACCCACACCTCTCAAGAAATAAACGAGGGATCCCCCCAAATCCTGTGCAATTGTAGAAGTTTATATCAGACCTAATGCAGAGCCTAAAAAAGTGAGGCCACTCTACCTTGCAGAACCACAGTGACCAGGCCACCTTATCTCATAGGACCTGAGTGACCAGGCCACCTCACTGCATGGGATCTGAGTGTCCAGTATTCCCTCCTCTCTCAGTGGGGCTCAGACAGATGGAAGGGCAGCAGGAAGGGACAGAAGGCATGTAGAGGGAGGGGACCGGCCATGTAGCTTCCCAGGAGGGGGGGAGGGGATCTCCAGCAGGGCAGCCAGGCTTACAGTCAGCAAGGTGAGTCCCTTTTCGGTTTTAAAGGAAGCTGAGGGCAGCCATCTAGGCCACCTGTTGGTGGAGGCAGAGGAAGCTGTCCCAGGGTCTGAGGCAGAACACAGGGAAGAGCAGAATGCAGGGAGACCCCGGCTCACCTCCCCCACAGCGCGTACCCTAGGCTGGGGTCCTATCAGGAGGCTGCCCCCTTTCACGCTGGGCCTGCTTCCACCCTGTTGCTTGCTGCCTGCACCTACCTGTTCGAGGCTGGCCTCCGGCCTGTCTCTTGTACAGGACACTGGTCTCTTGGTCACCTACATAACCCACAAATATCTGCAGAGCGGAGGCTCCAGCGCCCAGCAGGAAATGTCAGTGGTGAATGAAGGGCCCCTCATCTCATGTTTTCTTCCTGGCTGGCTTGGCCCCTACCCACTGTCACTCACTGTGTCCGGGGCCAGGCAGGGACAGGCTGCGCTTCAGTGGCCAGTTCTGTTCTTTCTTATGTCCTTGTTCATTGTTTTTAGCGCATGCTCGTCCCTAGTCTCTTGGAAGCCGCTGACATCCCACAGACCTATCCTCAACTACTCGGCCCAGCCCGGCATCTCACTCTGACCCACTCCCTTCACCAGAGAGCCTCAGTTTTCCCATCTACAAATAGGGATCATTGTGGTCTCAGCTGGAACAGTGGAAGCTCCTATCTAGAGATTTCCAAGGTCACATTCTTGCCCTTGGGCCACCTCAGGGACACTGGGCAGCCGAGGCAGGTGTGTCCCCAGGCTCTTGAACAGAGGTGCGGCCTCTCGAACCACACTGGTTCAGTTCTAACCTCGGAGCAGCATGGGCACCACCCCGCTGCAGAGCTCACAGGCCAGCGTAGCTCTGAGGGTTCCCTAGCACTCAGGAGGCAAGCAGACATTGGCGACTGGCCCCCACCCTCAGGAGCAGAACAGGGCTGGGACAAACCACTTCCTCCAGTAGCCGGCCCCGCCCAACCCCTAGGCCACTGTGCAAGTTGACTGCTTCAAAAATGGGGAGTGGGGGTGGAGTGCAGTGGACTTGTAGGACTGAGGACGTGGGCTGGGGCAAGCTGGCAGTGTCCTTTGCCTTAATTTCTTCTCCTGGCAAAGGCCACTCAGCAACCCCAGAAAAATGCAATCAATGACAGGAGCAACCTCCCACTCCCCACCTCATCCCCTTACTCCCTTCCCCCAACCCCTAACAAAGCCCATTGGCCCAGAGCCCAGCACACCTCTGCACAGGTGGCATCAGATTGTGTGGCCACTGGTGTGGTGACCCTGCCCTCAGTCACAGAGAGCGGGCAGCCCAGCCCCCAAGGAATATGTCTGGATCTGCCTTAGCAGCACAGCCCGAGAAAGACTTGCATTTTCCCCAAGCCTGGGTGATCTAAGAGAGCCTGGGCCCAGCATGGAGAGAGCCCTGCATGAGGTCATTTTGGACCTGTGCCCTCTGGGACTTCCAGAGGACGAAGCAGTCTCTCTCCATCACAGGAGTCCGAGCTGCCCCCGGACAAGTGCCAGCACTGTCCCACATGCCACAGTTTACAAAGGCTCCTCACCTTTCCAGTTTGATGCCCATAACTCTGACCTTTTCACAACAATGCCAGAGGAACACACAGAAAGACAGACAACAGGATGATATAAGGTACCACTCCACACCACGGGGCAGCTTCCTGTCTTGAAAATATTCGTCTCCCTCAAATGACTCCCTCCTCCCTCAAATGACAGCCGCAACCCTCACCCTGCCAAAGTCCCCCTCCCAAAATCAGATGGGGCTCAGCAGGCATCCTGGGAGCCAGTCTCCACTCACTGTTCTCTGGGCAGCCAGCGTAGGTCTCCTCCAGGGCTGAGCCTCCCGCGACAGCAGAACACAACTTCCTTTTTCTCATTTTCACAACATGGGTCACAAAACGACGGCGTATTTGCATTTCCGTGCCATTACGCAGTGTGAGAGGAGCTTGTGGCTGTGGAGGGGCCTCTCTTGCAAGGTGATGGGGGTGACCTCAAAAATGCAGTCCTCAGCCACAGCCACAGCAGGCCCCCAGTGCAGCTCAGCCTGGGCTGGGTTAAAGTTTAACAGGCTGCTCAGAAGGACCCAGGGCATGCTGGGTAAGGACCCCTGGAGACCACACTCCCTTGCTTTGGTAGGCTTCTCCGAGTAGACCTGTGGCGGCAGAGAGCTTCAGAGGCAGAGGCAGCAGAGGCTGGCCTAGACAGGCCCACAGCCTTCCTCAGACCTCAGTGGGTGGAAATGGCGAAATGGCCACAGAAGTTAGGAAATGGAAGGGCCCCGCCATGAACACATTGCTTCAAGGTGTCCCAGGGTACCTAGGAGAGCCCCAGTGACCAAACTCAACAGGACTGACTGCTCCAGTGGCACCCTAGATCCCAGTCTCCCAGCCAGGCCCACCAGAAGGGCTTCTCTTTGTTTTAGGGAGTCAATAAAGAACCCGGACTAGAAAGTCTGACTCAATATTAATAATGCCTTCTTAATTCAACCCTAAATAATAATACTAATCATGATTATTGAAAAACAAGCAATTTCTGTGGGTCTGTCTCCTCTTTGTCATGGGGGAGTCATGGCCCCTGGCAGGGGTATGAGGAGGTCCCCAAAGCAGCCACCGTGAAGGCACCAGCACCAGCACTTTCCATAGGAGTGCAGGACAAAGGAAAATCAAGCCCCTGGGGCTGGGGATGTAGCTCAGTGGTAGAGCACATAAGGGCCTGGCTTTGATACGCAGCACTGCAAAAAACAAAATGAAATAAAGCTGCAGGTGCAGAAAGCAACAAAAGGAGCCCAGGACGATTCCTGCTCCCCACAGTGGCCTCCCAGCATTTCCACCAAAGAGGCTTGCACTGTGAGCTCCTGGACAGTGTCCACTCCAGCTGGAAATGGGCTCTCACTCCCCAGCTCAGCTCCTGGTGCTAGTGTGGGAGAAACCACACGTTTTGCCTCCCAGGAATCCTTTCAGTTAGAACATAAAGATTGGAAGAACGCTACAGAGGCTCAGCGATGCAGCATGTGTTCTTTGCAGAGAGGACCACGTCGCACCTGCCCTGACACCTCAGCTTGGACACCTCAGACCCAGTGATGCACCAGCCACCAGGAAGCTGCAGGCTTCATGATGCTGGGTGCATCCCCAGCTTCCTGCTGGCCCTGCAGGGCACAATGCGTGGCTCCCAGGTGCTGTGACCTTGAGCTGGACACAGCGTCTCAGAGCCTCAGCTGTTCCTCTGTAAAATGGAGACATCAGCCGTGTGGGGTGGGGTGGTGAGGAACAAGGGCCTGGCCTGTGGCAGGTGCTTAGGAAATCACCCGCGCTGTCTTGGCCTGTGCTTGGCCTTGAAGTCTTAACTTCTCTTCACATGTTTGCAGCCCAGGCCAGGCAGGAGTGTGCCTGCCTCAGGGCTCAGTACTTTGCCACTCTGCTGACACATGCTGAGCCAGGAGGCTGGCGTTGGGACTAGAGGCCTCAAAGCCCACCAGTAGCACAGAACTGGCTGAGGAAGTCAAGATGATCACTGCCAGCAAGCACAGCGGCAGGTCACATGTGAGATCTGAGTGGTAAGGGTCCCCAGACATGACTAACAGGTAAAAAGGAGAGGGAGGGAATCTAGGGCTTGAACGCAGCCCTGAAGATAAGCATCTTTTCCTCCCCAAATGGGGTGGGGAAGGAAGAGGTGCCTCTACCTAGGGGTGACATCACCTAGGAAGGAGCCTCATCATGGCCACACTCTCATGCAGCCCCTCCCACCACCCGTCAGGCTGACCCATAGGAACCAGAAATGACAAAGATGCTTCCAAGACCAGATCATACAAGACACTGAGCTTCAGGCTTCCCCTCCTGGGTAGGGTCCTGGGGGGAGGGGGGGGAAGAGCAGCCACCATGCACTGAGGGCCTCAGGTGGCCCCGAGGAGAAGGATCTGGGCTGCTGGCTGCCAGCCATGATCAAGTCACTGTGGAGGTGGCTTCTTGGCCTGCATCAGGACTTCAGACAAGTCTGGCCACCGTATCTGCCTGCAGCCCCACAAGACACCTGGAGCAGAGACAAGTTCCCCTATTCCTGACCCAGCAAACTAAGAATCTGTTGTGGCCTTAGACTACTAAGTTGGGGGTGATTCGTTAGGCAGCAGTAGCCAAACGGTGTTTTCATCAGGAAAAAGAGCAGGGGGTGACTGAGGTTGCAAAAGGGAGGACCAGCCCTCAGCACAGTGTTCACCAGGAAGTAAGGGCGTCCAGTACTTTCCCACTTCATCAGAGTCCCTTGGTAACAGTGGGAGTCACATTGGGGGTCACAGTGATGATGCATTTGTGCTGTTCATTCTCAGGGATCCTAAGTAACCCCCGAATCACAGACCCTTCAGAGGGAAGCCTAGGTTCCTTTTCCTCCCCTCAGCTTGTTCCTCAGGGATAAGCTTCTATTCCCCCAAGCAGCTTCCTGCAAGGAGGTAGCTCTAATGAGGACCAGGGTCACCCCTAAGCCTCTGGTCTGCTCAAAAACCACCCCAGCCCTGCCTAACAGGGAAGCCAGTGATGACTTGGTGCAAAGATCAAAGAGGTGTAAAGATGGGGATACAGAGAGATGAGGAAGGGAAGAGCTGGTGGGTAGAGACCTGTTAACCAGAGGAAAGTACCTACTTGCAGGAGACAGTCTCCTGGGGTGGGGTGGACAGTGTCCACTCAGCAGGAGGAAGTCTGCAGCTGAGGTTAGAGGAGGGCAGGTGTCTTTACAGTCAGTTAATAGCCCTTTGCTAGCAGCTACCAGATACAGAAGCACAGACAGCAGGTTCAAAAGGCAGTTCCCACAGGAAACGTAAGCACCCCCGCGCATCTGTATTCCTCCCAAGCAAGGCGGGGTGGCCCTGTGGTTCCCTTTTCAGCATGACAGCTGGTCACTCCTTCCACAAGGCCCAGGGCTCACAGTTGAGCTGCTTCTGTATCACTCCCTACTTGAAGGGAACTGAGAGCCTCAGGTCTCACATCCTTTCTAGAACTGTGTCAGTCTTCAAATATCAGACAGATGATCTAATTATTCTTGTCTTTTCCTCAAGAAAAGGGAAATGGCAGGGCAGGAGTGAAGGGGAACCATGGAGGGTATTTCTGAGGGGCTTGGGCAGGGGGCACATTTGTCAGCTTCCAAGCTCCCAGCAACTCCTGCTGGACACCCATCTAATGATAGACCCCAGGAAGCAGAAGCTTCCCAGAGGCAGCGGGAGCCACTTCAGTGATTGTCTTGCTGTGCTGAGCTCCTAAGAATTCTCATTTTCTTCCCAACACTTCTTGAGAGTGCATACATTTTTATCGGAGCATTTTTTTTCATCTTTTTTTTTTTTTTTTTTTTGTCTTTTTCCTTTTTACCGGTACCAGGGATCAAACTCACGGCTGCCTGCTTGCAAGGCAGGCGCTTATGCCGCTGAGCTAAATCCCCAGCCCTATCGGAGCATTTATGATCTTTGCATTTGGCAGAGAAGTCAAACTGTTTAAAAATCAGAGAATGAAAGTTGCTCAGGGCTCATCCAAGGTCAGCCCAGCACTCTTGCACAATGCAAGACTGCTGGGCCCATGGCTGTTTATGGATGGAAATTTTAATTTCTACTTAGCCGTCCTAAATCTCTCTCAGGAAAAAAATGTGGTCAAGAAACCCAAAAGGAAGAAATGCTGAGTGTCATTTTGCTTTCTGAAAGTACATTTTTTTTAGTTTGCTAAAAAAGTTTTCTAGACTGCATCAAACTAAAATTGCATTTGGTTTATGTATAGACAATAGATTTTAAACTCTGTCACAGGCTTTATCATCTCTGCCATCTCTTCTGCTTGGGCAGCTGGAAGGTGGACAAACCCAGATCTGGAATCTGGGAGGGCCATGTGCAAATTCAGCCAAGCTGAATGACACTGTATAACTCTCACCCCAAGACGGGGAAGATATCCTTGGACCTCAAGCCGAAGTGACTGCCTAGAGAAGTGAATACAAAGAGCAGGAGGGACAAACTGATTAATCATCCCTCACTTTGCTCTATTTTTTAAAAAAGAATCGCTTTAAAATACTTGATGGTTTAGTCACCTTAGCCAAAGGAGCCTTCAGCATTGGACTGGAGAGACAATCCCAGCTCCAGCACTTACAGGAAGTGACATTTGGAGAGCTTCCTAGATGAAGGGTGTAATTACAGGGTAGGTCTGGGTGGGGGGAGCATCCAGCCGGAGAACATTTGGGCCTGAAGTGGAAGCAATTGTTTCTGGTCTTTAACAAAAAGCTCTGATGTGTCTACCCTTATGCAAAGGCTGTGCTTTTTTTTTTTTTTTTTCTTTTAACAGTGTAAGAAAAAATTGCCCATGTGTAAATAGAGAGTGATACACAAAAACCAGGCATGAAACGGACGGCCACACCCCCTATCAGCCCCTGAATAGAAGATAATTCCAGCATTGTTGTGGGCCAGCTGCACAGCGTCAGGCAGGAGCACTTGGAAGTCTGGTGCAGACCGGGGCCCTTCCTGCGCCTCCCAGTCCCAGAGGGGAACGAAACCCCAGGAGGGGTGTTTTCACCATAACTCATGACTCGGATCCACTCTTTTCCATTCAGTCTCTGGGCTCAGCTGTTCCAACAGCACGTGGGATTCCCAAGGTCTCTTTAAGGGCCTGCTGCTGAGCTGGAGTGGGGGAGTGGGGGAGAAGAAAGGACAGAATTAAGGGCACCTAAGGATGCCCACGGGACTGCAGAGTCACAGGGCAGACAGAGAGAGAGGGAGAGAGGGAAGGCAGAAGGAAGTTGATTTGTTAGTTGATTAACTCTTCTGAGGTTGTTGGTGAGCTGAGCTCCTGTGACAGGCTCCTTGCTCACGGAGACAGTGAAAGCTCCCCAGTGGGCCATGGTAGGGGAGGTGACCTGACCGTGCCTTTGCTGGCACTTGTAGGACAGGTGCTGCTAAGGAGAGGGTAGCATCAGTGGCGTCTGTCTTCCCTGACACATCTCTGCATATGAGCTCCTGTTCCGTCCTGGGCCCACTGGCCGCACAGACATATGCTGGACCTCAGAGGCACCCGGGTGGCACAGGCAGCCCCATCCC